AAAAAAAAAAAAAAAAATTAAAATTAAAAAAAATTGACCAAATATATGGGAATGCTGCCTGGGCACCGTAATAATATATCTCAATCAACAATAATATTATTTAATGACCGCCTTATCAATCATATATAATTATCGATACTGTGATTTTATGTTTTTATCAACGTGCATCATCTGACCAAAAAGCCTGCGTGTTATCGTTCGTTGTTTATTTTTTTAGAGGGGCGAATTAATTGTTTCACCGACAAAAGCGCGTGGTGTGGCGAGTGGTATAAATACGTTGAGGTCGATCCGTACCTCCGATCGTAATATGGCTCTATATAATATTACCTGCAATAATATACCGCGTTAAGCACACAATATAAAACGAAAAGCTAAAAAATCTCGGCAATTTTAATTAACTGCAAATAACTCGAAAATTATATCACGCCCGAAAATGATAATGTATAGTTTATGGGTTTAATGAAAAAAAAAAAAAAAAACTACAAGATAAATTAAAAACAATGACCTCCATAATATTTATAACGTTCCGACACGAAAAAATTTGCTAACATACACTACGTCTGGAATCAACGAGTCAGAGCATGATTTTTTTCAATCAAACAGTCGTTTACGGATAGAAGAAAATGGTATTGCGGTCTACGGTGGAGTCTTAAAATCTTTTTTCTATTAAAATTTGCTGTCTACGGCTATTACCGTTATTAAAATCAAATTGTAAATTCAATGGCAAATAATCCGTTATAAGTTTGCCAATACGTAGTTTTAATTTTAAAAGTCAAGAATATTTCGCGTTTTTCTATTCTGTGGCCATTCTATACTCTATCTATGTTTTTTGTTTAATAATTGATACCACACATTAAATAAATTAACGCAGACGATCGTAACAATAACCGTATGGAATATATCGAATTATATAATCGCACAATTAAGAATAAAATAAAAATGACTGGCCATGTACATAATAGTTTTCTCTCATTCGGATCGAACGCAAACTCGCCGCGCATTTTTGCCGGAACCTTTCAAATTCGTATAAAAACGGTTCGCTCGACCCATACAAGGCCGTACCGTACCGTAGAGTTGTTTAATATTCTCGTTTTCCTGTCGTTGTAAAATTAGATAATTCCGCGTGTGAATTTCGTGCAGTTTAGTTACCTATCATACGTATAGGTATAGATACGTAGAGATAATTATTTACTGTTACGATATAGAAAAATGCGTTCGTATAAATTATATAAAGAAAAAAAAAACCGTTGTTTTTCGTTTGATCGTCGTAATGGAGACGGATTTTTTTTGTACGAAAACGTAAAACGACGGTTCCGAAAAGCCCCGCCCGGCGCTTCTTATTCAGGACGGCGGCGATGTTACGATAAAATATGTCATCGTAATGTTTAACAGTACATCTCGTATCAATCCGGCGCTATAGTAAAAAAAAAAAACTCCATATTCGCCAATAGAAATATTAACATTTTAGTTTTCGCCGCAACGTTGCGAAATGGTTAGAATCGGCGTTCGAACACTATTTGAACGTTTTTCGCAAAGTAACCTAATCGAATGCGTGCGTTCCGTGCACACATACCGGACTAACAATAACACCATATTACTGTACCTGTAATCTTTAAGTATTTCCAATAGCACACGAATATATTGCGTGTATTCTAAATACCTGTTCACTTATTAACACGTGCCGCCGAATACAGAATAAAAGTGTATTTTTTTTTTTTTTTTAATGATATAGCCACGCGAAATCCGAATAGGTTATACATAACAATGTTATCTTCTATATATTCTCGATCGCATTCATAATAATATCGGCTGTTTTTTTTCGGAAATACAATAATGGTCTGCGCGTGTCTCCTTACGATATGGTTTCGTATGAATACGGTCGAAAACCGACTCGTTTAATGAAAAATGTCAGTCGTACCTGATGTATGGGCACTTTCAACACCGAGCCCCGGACGCATAAAAGATGTTTTTTTTTTGACGCGAATAACTGCAGAAATCCAATACAGTTATTGCGCTGCAGCTACATTTTTCCCAGACGATTCCAAAATCATAACACTAATAATATAATTTTAACAGTATTCAATTATTAAATCGAATCGCGGCAATGAGGTTCCTAAATATGCGTACACTCTAAGCCGAAACGTAACGAAAATCGAAAAAATAAATTTTTCTATGCGTACGACCCAGACTTGCCTACCTAACCAGGGACGATAAAACTGCTGAAAAAGAAACGATTCGATATTAAAATCAATCGATTTTGATCGCGGTAATTGCACTAAATACTGTTTGTTATTATTGTACGTGTACCGTTTCTTCCGACTCATTTCTTCCGACGCAAGCGCAATGATAGCAGTAGCGTCCTCTAAGAAGGCGAAGTGCATGATATAACCCCCTCCCCCAAAGAGGTTTAGAACTCGGACCTTTTTATTATTTTTGACAATAACAAATCATACAAAATGTAAAATATCCTGTAAACATGCCACATTATGAATATTATTTGTTCGTTAATTATTAATGTGCAATGTTGATGAAATTGTATATTATAGTATAATGCATATTAGTTATAATATTTTTCTCGATATTTTTAACAAATATGCGTATTTTCGACATAATTATTATTATTTTTATCGACAATTTATTTAGATATATTATTATTGTTGTCGACATTATGTTGTTATTATGTTTTCAATTTACCTAAAAAAAAGCAAGTGGGAATCAATTCACAAAATCCGAGTAACTGTACTGTAATGTTTGTTTTATATGTTTCTGATCTCTACGAATATCTCACTACTCTGACTAGTACAAAATCATATGATACAATACATTTTTCTTTAAGATATATGGTGACATATTTTTTTTTTTTTTAGTAGCTCTAAATTATTACTGTTTCATAAAACGTCGTACCTATTTCTAATCTTGTTCGTACACGTAAAACCATACTGATAACTATAATGTTTTACGACGATACAGCTCGCTGCTTATGTTAATCGTGACGCAATATTATTTAGTACATGACATAATATTCGCGTGTGAATAATAAAACTACAGAAAAGTAAGGAAAAAAAAAATACGTAAATTCGGACTTAAGTATATTCAAATATTGTTATCCCCGTCGAAATACTGTTAACTGTTAAACATTGTAAATTGTGCACGTCTCCCCCCTCTCCTCCCCGATGCGAATTATATTGCGTTCTATTATTATTATTGTTCGACCGAGAAAAAGTGCATTTAGAATGCTATTCGCGTATATTTGACATTTTTCGAATTCGTTTTAAAATCGCGTGACGTACGACATTAACATAATACTTAACTGGAAACATTTTAATAAATCGCATACGCGTATAATTTCCATTTCCATTGCGAACGTTCTTCTACTAAAATGTTATTTAACTGGAGTTCAGTGTTTCAAATGTCCACGCCATAATAATATGACCCGACCTAAATGACTGTACACGGCACAGTATATTTCTTGAAAATAATACAAACGCGCGATTACATATTATACATTTGTTTTTAAACATTACAAGTATATCGGACACGAAAAATATAGAACGGATTCGTAAACCGAATGATTCGAGCGTGCCCCCGGGGAGGGAGAAATCCGAAACAGTAAGAATTTCAATGGAAATGAACTTAGAAGAAAAAATAGGGGGAAAAAAGAAGTTAATTTTTAATAAAAAGTAGTTGGTTGATACGGTTGAGAATGATATGAAAAGGACAGCGAGGTGAGTAATCAGGTCAAGTAGAAGTTTAGAGCGAGAGTGGCGAATAGTTGGGACGATTGGAAGGAGAAGATTATTCATAAACCTGGGTATAGGAGATTTTTATTCTAAACCAACCTAAAAGTTCATAACCTAGAAAGACCTTCGTAGAGAGCGGGTTGACTTGCAAATTTCAGGAATGTACGTAAAAATCAAGAGGAATTATTCGGTACCATTTACAAAGTTCTAGACTCGTGTGGATAGGCACCATCTTGGCACACCCATATCGTTTTTTGTATACTTCCCGTGAAAGCGACGACTTGCGAATTTTTAGAAAGGACTCAGAAAATGTATGTGAATTACTTGAAACATATTGGTGTGAGATTGAAATGTGTACAATGGCATGGGTGGATTCATGGACGTTTGTCAATCCGCATTTCGGATTCTGGATCTGGCAGATTATTGGATTCGTTAAGTCCTTCTAAATTATAACAATTACGTCCAAATATTGTTTTCAATAAAGCGAAATATATAACAATTATATTGCATACACATATAGGTTAGATTAAATTAAACTACAATCATTATTCAAAGTGTGTGTAAATAGGAAAATCGAACAATATAGAGAAAAAAAAATGGATTTCCAGACTTAAAAAAACACGAATCGCGTAATCCTTAATTCGAATTTTCGAGTTTCGTGACAACATTTTATTGACGAATAAACCGATTAATTCGCTTCTGGGTACGAGTGAATTTTATTTCCGTAACGTGTCTGCCCCATTAAAAACGGGTGTAAAATATTAAAACTGCACGTGCTAAAAAACCGCACAGGCCGCGACCGCAGCCGTGTCGTTTATAATATTATTGCAATTTTTTATGATCGAAAGTATTTCGCCGGAACTCGATTGTTTACAGTAACCGTGACAAATTCAAGCTGTCGAATGCTACACGGATGCGACCTGCCCGTGAGTGTCATTCGGTGAATTCGTCGCGGAACGACGTAATAATATTTCGTTATTTATTTTTACCATTGTAGGCAATTATATTGTCACGGGGTGCCTTGTCGATTAGAATTTGGCCCGATTCGGCGAAACAGCTCAATTATAATTGTACCCGCGTACCCGAATTAACAAACAATTTATTACGGACATGCACATTCGGTAACCTTAAATACTTCGTCACGCTCAGACGATAACAATTTTACATAATAATAACGTTGGAGCCGATCAAAGCGCAAATACAATTATATTTTACAACATTATAATATAAATAGGTTTGATGTTTTTGGCTATTATTATTTATCATGTGTTGTCTTTGTTTACGTCAAAACAACGTGTATACTTGATTGCAAAACGAATAATTTTACGTTTTTTGGTTTCGTATCACTATACTATGGCGGATAAATTACTTTCGTTTTATTTCTAAGCCAAATAATGGGTGGAATCGACAACGCGTTGACTATCACCGGCGCTGCTGTTCAATAATAAGAACCATTGGAAAAGTCAAAACTGACGATGCCGGTGGCATATGGATTAACCACAGTGGCTTCTCGACTTCGCAGATGACCCAGACGTTATAGGCAAAATACTGCAATACGTGGCTGATGTGGCGAGAGCGTTGGAAGCCAAAACAGCGAAAAAAGTAGGAATGTAGCAAGAACGTAACAAAAGTATCGGGAACTGTCAACGGCGGGTGAACCCCGGAAGTAAAACAAGTTTAACGTTTCAAAAGATTGAGTTGACTCTATATTAACACAATAAATTGCACTGTTGAAATAAATGATCAGCTGCAGGAACTCATACGGGATCGGTGCCTAGTTTTATCAAGGGCTAAAGGACCAAGTGGTTATATAGGTCATATTATTATGCGTAGGGGAAAAAAACGAACCATTATATAAGAACAGCCTGTGAATAGATTTCGTGTGACAGGCCCGGAAAAAGATGGATAGAGAACGTCAGACTTAACGGATTGGACGAATTGGTGAACGCGTATATTTCATTGATAAAACGCTATATACTTGTACATGCGGGTCGCCTATGGTTCGAGAGGCAAAACTTTATTACAATTTAAAATGTGTCAAACATAGTAGAAATTTACGCCATTTGCTGTGGCCCTTCGAGGACACTGCCGCCTCAATCATACCCTTGTATGTCTTATTTTTACAATTTGATTATTAGTTATTTTACATTGACACCGACGCAAAGGCCATATGCTCCGTCTTTTTAAACCCCAAAATTCTAACGGTTTTCTCATCATTCGAGAAGAATCCATATTCGATTTATTACTTTCAATAGAAACATTTCAATATGAATCAAATAGATATAAACGATAGGTACACAACGTACGTCAATCGGCAAACCGTCATCATACTCCCGCACTAGATACTTTTATTATTATTTTTATACAAATTTCAAATCAATATATTTTTTTATGAATACATTTTTTTTCCCATTTGAACAAATAAAATTTAACGGGTTTTTAAATTGAAAATCGAGCATCTTGACCGCTCGAGAAATTCAAATACGATCACACATATTTAAATATTAATACTCGTTAACTGAGTACACGCTGTTGGAAGTGTAATTAATTAAATTAGTTTATTTCATTTGAATTTGTGACTGCCGTCCAATTACTCCAAGATCACGTAGGGAAGGTAAACTACTATTCGGATTGATTTTCAAATAACAACAACCTATATTGAATATTCGTTAATAGTTGGAAATATTGAAATATCGTAAATTATAAAGGTCGAAGTCAACACCAACATTTATTTAAACCAACATTTTATCTGCGATAGCATTTAGAATATAGGTTGCTATTTGAATTCCAAATATTAGTATAGTTGTTTTACCCGCTAAAATATGGGTAGAAAAAAAATAACGCAAGCCACTTGTCAGAGCCACTTGTTTCTTAAATGTCCTGAAGAAAAAAATTTGAAAAAAGTATCTAAATGCTTTCCGTAATAATGAGTGTCTTACGTTATGCTATCATATGTATAAAGTTTAAGCGAAAATGATGTCGAGTATCGTATTTTTCCTGCCCGCTCTCTCGCTCGCGTGCTACAGGATAAAACCAGTGACCCGTACAATATTTCATTTTATTCGGCAAACGCGCTGTTTCGAGTTGGTCGCGCAACTCAAATAAATAACGAAACGCAAATTTGCCCGTTTAAATACTCAACGCACGAGTAATTATTTCCCATGCACAATAATGAAATGAAATCTTTCGAAATCGATGGAGAAGAAAGTAATTTTAAAAACCCAGACCTTGGTGAATAAATCGGTGCAGCCGGGTGCTTATAAAATAAGGAAACCGTCGACATTGTGATAATATATTATTATCGGATTTACATTTATCGTCCGATTGTACCTTTACGTACATAAATCGATTTCAAAATACATAATGGTATTAAAAAAAAAAAAAAAGGAAAAATACGCGCCATCGCGAAAATTGTATTCTCATCAAGAAAAAACACTTAATCTGATTTAAATATAATTACGAACCGCAGCAACCACGGCGTGTAAGAGGTTAAGTAATTTCGATAATGAAATTGAATTCTCAAAATTATGATTACACACGACGGAGAAAATCTCTTGACATCGTTCATGCCAAGGATTAAAAATTAATTTTTCATTTTCTATAATAAAGACATTATGATTTAAGAGTTTATGCGAGCGAAAAGTGCATTTTTTTGACGATGATTAAATTTCCGAGTAACTGGAGTGACAATAATTGTCATTTATGATTATGTTATCATCATCAGCATCAGCAGAATACTTGTATAGCCTCATAACTCTGCTTTAAGAGTTTAAACCACCACCGTGAGTGTTCTCCAATTTTTCTGGTCTGACCCCATCCCGTGGATTTTAGATTCTAAGTGGAGCGAAGAAGCTTATGATTTTACAAAGATGTTTATTTTATTTATTTTTTTTTTATCTGGTAACAACTTTTCTAATAGAAGGCTTGCTCGGATTTCTAAATGTAGCAACTTTTCTGAAAGGAAATCGGTATGGAGAGATATTTTAAAATGGTCATTTTTAAATTTTCTCATGAGTTTTTCATCAAATTTGAAAAACCAAAAAAAAAAACGAGCCTTATTTTACGGCCTTCTATTTTTCTGTGATAACTTTTCTACAAGCAATTTAGCTCTGATTTATATTGATAGCAATTATTTTAATAGAAAATTTCATTAGGAAAGTACTTTTTAAGAGGTCGTTTTTCGATTTTTTTCCGGAGTGTTCTCAGCAAATGGGGAAAAACATAGGAAAACCGAAAAAAACGTAGGAAAACCAGAGAAATTTGTTCAAAATTCAAAAAAAAGTGTAAACAAAGTATGTTGACAGAATTATTAGTATTCGGATAACACTGTTAGGATACTCTGTATATTATATGTTTAGTTCCCATCTTCCCGATGGCCCTAAACAACGAATAGATAATAATATTATGTTTTCCAATGATTGTCGGCTGTCGGCAATTCTTTGGGTTTTTTTTATGTATTTCTTCGGAAAATCGGTTTAAAAATACTGCGGTGTTTCCACTGCGTGGAACATCTACGCGCTATAATAATACTAATGTTGCGCGTTTAGTCAAGTCTCTTTACTTACAGAGACGGTTACACGGATGTCCCAACGTGCACGCGTACTAACAGTGAAAATACCACTCGAAATCCGTTTCAATATGAATCGAATATAATAATAATAATAATATAAGATATAACGCGAAAAACCGACCATATACTATATGCATCACGAGTAGGCCACTGTTGTAGGTAGGCAGTTTGAAAGAAAAATAGATTACTATAAATCGTTAAACCGTTCTAATCATAAAACGATTCCGCGAGATATTTTTCGTGTTGTTTTTCCCGTAACCAATATAGCCGGTAACCCTAATAAAAAATATGCTACGGTCTATAGGTAACGTCGCTATGCTCACTGTCGATTTCAAATTTTTTTACAAAAACGGTCGGGGTTCTAAAGGATTTTTTGTTCCCTTTTCAGATAATGCGTATACTACCAAAGGAAATTCCGCATCTTTTAAGTGGGGGTGAGAAACATATCTTAATAAAACCAATAGTTTCTTTGCTGTACTCCGAATATGAAATAATAATGATATATCGCGATAAAAAATATTGAACCGTCGCGCGTCGTGCCGAAAGTCAATAAAATATAATATAATAGCTTCGATATAAACTCGAAACACGAGAGCGACCGTGTCAGATTTATTATCATATTGCCTGTCCTGACCGTACTTTTCTTTTTATATTTTTACTCGGCACGTTTTATTTGAAAAAAATATTTTTCGTCCGTCCGAAATGAATCGAAAATATTATACCAGTAGACGTAATTGAAATCGGGTGTATTCCAAAAAGATTTTAAAAATCTACGCTCATCACGCAGGATACTGGTCAAGGACGGGAATCTGATGTAGATGAAAATTCGGAAAAGTAGCTAGGGTACAGATAAGATGATTTAATTAATATATTCTGTGCGCAACGATAGATTCTCGTCGTAATCCCTGTAATATTATATTTACGACGGCTGCCGGTGAACTGCATACTCTAATAGTAGACGACCGGACTGGATTCGTTATCACCTTCTTTTTTTTTTATAAATTGTGATTTTGCACGCCATCGCTTCGTGATCGAATGAAAAATTAAAAACCCATTTTTTAATATGAACAAATGTCAAGGAATTTAAATTTGTCGATTAGACGCTTGTATGATAAGATTTTCCGGCGGTTTCTGTCGTTTTTGCGAGACAAGAACATCGAGAAATGTGATAACGAGATTTTGAGATTTCAATTGATATAATTATATTATCTCCAAGAAATAACTTAGTAAATGTATTAACTATTTGTCTTTCCGTTTCTGGGATAGGTAACACTGTGTATAAAGCCAACGTCCGCGGTCAAGCATAATTGTTATTCACTCGTGCACAGCAGTTTAAATATAGGTACATTGCAGTTTATTTTGAGTTACCGTTGTATGCTGCAATTTTTTATACTATCAAGGTACATGTATTCATTTGTACCTATACTAAAAATAATGATGCATAAACATTTCAATTCAATCTGATATTGCGTCTTTATTCGATGCTATTTATTTTTTTTTTCGGGTGGTATAATAGATATTATAATCACAATTTTAATTTATGTACTTATAGATACAGCTTTTTACTGAGTGTATACGATTTTTTATGTACTCACCTATATTTTATAATTGCAATAATTAGAGAAATAAAATATTGTAATAAATACTTAATATTTTAAAAATTAAAATCGAGATAACGCACAAAGCAAAATGTTATTTTGAAAAAATAAAAAAATCAAACTAAATTAGTATTCATGAATACTAATAGGCTTATGAAGATTTTTGATCGTAACGAAACATTTTTTTATTAAGCATAAAAAAATGGACGGTACGAATATCATATAGAAGTCCCGTTTTATGTAGTCGAATCTGTTTCGCGACGGTGTAACCTAACTTAACCTAACGTACATTCGAGATTTATGTTAGACATGCATCACGTCACAAACACTTCCCTATTTATTATTGTATCACGGACCATTGGTCGTTCGGTAGAGTTTGTATTTCGTACGATACGTTAGGAAAAATCACCGGGATCGTCATTCACATGAGGATATTTTAAAACGGTTAATTTGATAAGCCAATACGCGGACACGTCATCGGAACTATTTTTACGATTGCGCGGTATGGTAAATGATCATGTGACCGGTATAAAATATGAATACCGATGATAATAATAATAATAATAATAATAATAATAATAATAACGATAATAGAATTTCGGGTCATTGTTTTGGGACAATCGTCAGATGCCTTGATAAATCATAATATTTATCGTAGGCGTCCAGTCGGTGCAGAATGTGACCCGTATTAGAATTATCAGTCAATTCGATTATGGAACACAACCGAAGATTTTATAAGACTATATACTACGTATAGCTGATTGTATGATTTCCCAAATATTAAAGTAAATAAGAGGCAAATAAGGACGAGGAGAAGAATATAACAGATGTATATTTTTGTGTACAGTAAAAAGATGTGCATCGTTTTTCGCGACGATCGAATAATTCAATTTCGCAAATTATATTTTCCGTTTTTAGGTATTCCGATAAATCTTTTTTATTGCATTACACGCGGTATTTGTGTAGACTTGACATCTGCTGCAGCTGCCAGTGTCAAACGTATTAATATATTATTAACTATATCAATAATGATATTTTCAAACGTAAACTTTTATAACGTAAACTATATATTTATGCGACACAAATAAAAAAACATTTTCATTTTTTAAAATAAGTAGTCGATTTATAAATATTTTTAAGTTTATTGAAATTTTAAAAGTGGCATTATTATTGTTCATACGGAACGTCCAAATATTTACCAAATTAACATTTTACAAATCGGTTCGAAAATACATTTTCAACAAGGAATATTGAAATAAACCCTATACAGACCGTTCAGTATAGCGGTTCTCACGGTAATGAATATAATTATTGTTGTCACTATTATTATTTTCTTAATTGAAATTTCAGAGTGAAAATCAAAAGCGATTGTGGTGACCGAGAATGTTCGGATGAAGTTTGTGTAAGTATCATGGGAATGAAAACTGACGGTTTAAATAATGGAATAAATAGTTTAATGAATTTCGAAGAAAAATCTTTAAACCCTGTACATATACTTGCATTTTTAAATCGAAAATAAGCACGTTCAAAAATAACACAAAATCCACGCCCTAATGATAATAATAATGTAATTTTATAACATTTTAATACTCTCGTATATCCGAGATAAAATACAATAATAATATGAAAAATTAAGTATTATTTATAAATAAGTATAGAAATCCTCAAATCCTTTGAATCGTTTTCAAATTGATAATCCGACACGTCCGCGGCTACTACGGCGTCAGCAGGTTTAAATAATAATATTAAATACGTACCAATCACATTACTATAAACAATTTTTTAATACCATCGCAATATGTTTGATAAAATACTTATTAATTTATCGTGCACAATGTATGTCTAGATAAAAATAATTTATCTTTTATCCCATTTAGATAATTTTCAGGAAAACAGAATAATTTACACGAAAACAGACATTTGGTAAAATGTATTATTATACTGTGCATTTCAATATTGATAATGATCATTAGTCAAAACTTATAGAAATCTTTAATAATTGTTATTTAAACAAAATTTTCAATTTTTCAACCCTAATCGTGTATCTTAAATTAGTATATATTTATAATAATAATTATACACTTCTCATTATCAAATCACTCACCCACTCCTCTTTTTAAACACGGATTCGAGTAGAGAATATTTTTTTTAAAAGTGTCGATATACCACTAATATACATATACTAATATACACTAATATCGTACTTACTGTTTATGAACAATTTTGAAGAGGAACTATATTTATCAAAATCCAAGCGGCGTTCCCGAAAATTAAGTAAACCCAATTAAATATTCAGAAAAATCATCACGGAGAAAAGACTTCTGAAATGTTTTTCTCCTACACATATATTTTGTTTTTACAGATTTTATGCTAATATGGTTTTAAAATAAACCACACTTTTTACTAAAACATAATTGTACACATATGTCTGCTTAATAAAAATAAATAAGATATAATCTGACTATGTATGGTTTAACAGGTATTAAAGCTTTTTAATAAAGGTAATTCAAATTTTTAAAATTGCATCGAAAATATCGACTACCGATATTTTCGGTAACAGTTTTAAGCCTCAATTTTCAATTTATAACAATTTAAATTTTAGAAGGGCGAAAGATTATCAACATTTAGTTCATTATCATTTTCTTTACTTTCGAGCATAGAATTGATGTTTAAGTAAAGTTCAAGCGATTCTCCTGAAATCAAATTTAATCAAAATCCCCAAAGAGCATATCGCCGATTCGTGATAAACTGATCTCACCTATGAATACATTTAATTGAAAACGTTTAGGCGCAAAACAGAAATAATCGTAAAAGGTTTGTCGCAATAACAAAAAAAAAAACCACTTCCAATGTAAGTATAATAATATTATTATCATTGTTATTGTTGTCTCTCGCAACAGTAAGTATTAATACGTTCTCCCGGTCGTATGACTCGGTGGTGTATATATTTATTTGACTACAAAGGCAATTTCTTCTTTATGAAAACGGGTTTTTTTTTTTTTTTTTTAAATACTTAACCGTAGAACGGAAAACGGAAAAAAATCAAATAAAAACACGATGAAAAACTTTTGAAATTATATTTTTATATAAGCAATAAGTATAATAAGTATACAAATATTGTTTATGAGAAAAATCATTAAAAAATTGTTATTACTATAATAATACGGATATTCACAATGTAATACGTAGGTACTCATCATAATATATAAAATTATTTTTAATATTACGCTCTTTAGTACAAAAAAGCAAATACATATATTTTGTGATTCATGTTTCAAAGAGCATAATGTAATTGAAAAATAATGCAAAATCGTCAATCTACAGACAATTTTAAATGAAAAGTTGATACTGCTCTTTGAAAGGCCAATGTTATAAATGGATAGTTGTAAATATAGTATAAACGGGGAAATTTAGTCGTAAACGGAAAAATGATTCTGAACGGAGTAGTGCAAGTCATATTTTTCTCGTATAGCCAACGCAACCCGGAAATCACCAAAAACAAACATCAGGGGGTGAAATGCTGAAAATGACAATATATGTTTCAAATAAAGTACCGCCAGACTAAAAAAATCACCATTTTTTAGAGACTCTGCCTGTAAAAATTAACCGTAACAGTATTGCGAAAAATAAATCTTTGTAAAACTAATACTTCCTTCGTTTTCCTCCGAATCTAAAAATAAAATCATTTTTGACACTAATATAGAATCACTGTTACATTCTACATGCAAATTGACGAGTTGGTGAATTCACGACGCCGTTTTTTGTTTTCCTTGCAGTTATCATGATAATTGGGAGAAACGTTAAGAAAAACGGACAAATTTACAATAATAACAAAATAATTATTTTCTATTTTGTTTTTTGACCACAAATCTTACTCCGAATTTAAACTAAGAAAGTAACTAATAGTAAAAGATGTCAATTCAAAAATCATGTTATCTCTAATTTTCGTATAAGAATGTCGGTCTTTTTAACTTAGTTTTATAAATAGCTGGGAAAATTGGGGGAAAAATTTGAAAAACCAGAAAATTTTACGAAGTTAACAGATTTATTATTATCATTATTACTCATTGAAAGTTTAGATTTTAATGGAATCGTGAAAATCACAGCGTTGTTTCGGGTATAATTTTTTTTGACTTTTACCTGAACGCAAATCATCAAATCTATGTAGATTTTGTGGTTTTCCGAACAATGAAAAATATGATATTATGACGATGACGGCGATCGTATTATAATATATCATACGTCATAATATATACGAATGAGATATTCGATTTCATAAACTTACACCCGACAATCGTTTTAGACACACGTATAACATTACAAACGCACGTATAATATTACGTATACATTATCGTCGATGTGTTGGTAAACATTGTCGACGGTATTTTTCCCTGTGTGGAAGGTGTTGTTATACAGGAAGACCGAAGTCATTTATCGGCTAAAATCTAGGAAGAGTATATACTTTTAACGCACTAAACAAACAATCCACGTATCTCGTCAGATCAGATCTGCACAAACGTTTCTTTGGGAAAATTACTTCTCCCCAAGATATACCTATAAAGAACTCCATAAATCACCTCCGAAATGAGTGTATAGTTGGTGGTCCGAAGGAAAACGTGGAAATCCAAAACCTAGAAAACAAGTAAGACGACGATCCCAGTTATTGCGGTTGTGGAAATGTAAACATTAAAGGTTATGCATATCATGGTTGTCGATGACTTTTTTGAATAAATATGATTTTTGTTTTTTTTTTTAATTTTGAGTGGAGCAAAGAAGCTTATGGTTTTACAAAGATGTTTATTTTTTTTTTCTGTGGACACCTTTTTTACCAAAAAACTTACTTCGATTTTTACATGTAGCAACTTTTCTGAAAGGAAATCGGCGTGAGAAGGTACTGTAAAATAGTCATTTTTCGATTTTCTCAAGAGTTTTCTTATTAAATGCGAAAAATTAAAAAAAAAAAAAACCTGGAAAATTTAATGATAGCAATGTTTCTAAAAGGAAATTTTATCAGGGAAATACTTTAGAGAAGTCATATATATTGAGGAAACATATACATTGTTGACAAAACATCACTATCAACTGAACTCTGCTCAGAATCGATTTTTCGTAAGCAATGGTTTATCGTTGCTTACAGGTATAAATTAAAATATCTATAACAGTGGCTACACTTGTCCTTCTAAATCCTAAGTCGTCTTTTTTTTTTTCATTCAGACCTTTTAGAAATGTTTATTGATGTCTCGTTTGGAAAACGGTGTTCAAAGTTTTAGATTACCACGTTATTTTTACAAATTTAACGTACCCATTATTATCGAATAATAATTGCGGTTTGGTATTACACGTTTGTACGCATTGTTTATCAGATAATAAACCGATTCTAATACGCGAGAGGTGAAAAAATAATGACATTTTCTCTCCGCTTGTTCGTGATAAAACACAATCATCCTGTATATTATGACGACGGCGTGGTCGACGATCTTATCCTGTGTGATGAAATATTGCGTGTTCTTCCGGATATACGGGACACCACCGACACACTCGCCCCTACCGCTGTCTATAAGGTATTCAATTTAATTTAGTCGCTTTTTGTACCGTATTATATATACATATAATATCATTATAGATCTCAGTATGGATAAGACGTGGTGCGATGCAATTTAAATTTCAACTGTTATGAGATTCCGCAGGGCACCGGATTTCACGACAACGGTGTGTGTTTTTTTTTGTTACGGAAAATGCTTTTATGAAAAACGTTTGAAATAACCTCCATAATATACATAGCTACACAGAGCATTTTACCTAGTAGATTTTTCCTGTAGAATCATCAGGCCTCTCTAGAAAAGACATTTTTCAATATAAGTTTTCCTGTATAAGCGTTCGTCAACCGATAATGCAAATCGATTTCGGATATCATAATACCGTCACGTAACTCAAACTCGAATGGCAGATGGTTGCCAGGAATAATAATAGCGAAAAATCAATTCGTATCCAAATTTGTTACTGAAGTTTATTTTTAGATGCGATTGACGCGTTTAATTCATCATCGTCTAAGATCGTCAAGCATAAGTTTCATTAAGATTTCGCTCTCTAAATTATGTTTATTGTGCACCACTCCTATTTTTTCGTTGAGGTCTTATAGCAGAAATTACTATCAAGTTATTATGAAGTTATTTTTTATTTAAAAATACTCATGGTTTTTGAATCAAGATCTAAGTTACCTGTAAATTATGTATTATTTCTCTTTTGTATGTTGTTGTATTAAGTATGCTTAACGATTTCGTTTGGTTTTATTTGTTTTGTCTGCTTATTAACAACTTATATGTACCAGAAGCCTAGCTCGGATTTTCGAATAATACGCTCGAAATAATACATCTTTCCCGAAAATTAACATTTTTCGATTTCGCTTACAGAAAATTAATAACTTTTGAATTGTTACTTTTAAAGGCCTGATTCGAAAGTTTTAGTCCTAGTCATCTAAATGCTTCAAATCTGGGTTCGTTATGAGGGAGTAATGTGTGTTTAATTCGTTACGAGAGACACAGTTCAGGACAGCTAGTATTAGACGTGCATAACATAATAATATATGACAGGGTCATATTTAATCGCGAGCTTCGTAGGCTGTCGTAGCCTATGGGCTCGCATCACAGATAAGCCCGTACCAAAAGAGCTAGTAATCGAGAAAAAAAAATGAAAAAAGTTCAATGGGGATTAAATATTTCGCTGTGCCTGTGAAAAAGCCCGCGCCATGAGCTAGTCTAGAGACCGAAATACGGCACTATTATTTCATGATTTTTGAAAAAATTCAAATCGGACATATTAATTACGTGTACATGTTATTATTATCACGGACACCGTCGGAGTATCGGTATACTATAATACTATAGTGTGCAAAAACAATTGTCACAACATCACAGCCGAGAAACCTGTTCCCCGGAGCCCCTTGCGAAAACTCCGGGATTCCGTCGTGGGTCGGTGACCGCGCGCGTAATATAATAAGATCGCGTTTAAAAACCGCGATAAACGCGTACTACAATACGAGTATTATTATTATTATTATTATTATTGTTGTTGTGGATAAAGCGGAGAAAGATTTGTTACATATATTGTACCGAGATCGATGGACAGCCGTGCTCGCCGCCGTGTTACGAGGTCGTCCGTGTTTCTATAAATAACGAGCGGTCGGCGACGGACCCCGGGCCCGGGACATACCTATGCGGTGTTCTAACACTGGCGCTGCGCAGGTGGACGGTATTTACGTATCTGCACTTGACCGTGTACAAAATAGAAATCGTGTGTCTGCACAATAATAATAATAACACGACGCACTTTCCCCGTGACTTTTGAGCTTTCCCGTCGGCGAGAGTGTTTTTTCCTGTACAAAATATAATACGAAATTGCTACGAAACCTACTGATTCGATCTACGTTCGCCGTTTATTCGCTATCGGCCGCGCAACCGAGTAAGCAAAATCCGACTCGACCGGGTGTCCGACGGACTTTAATCCGTTTGGACACAGTAAATCTCCTGAAAATAATGCCCGGACCCCGCGGGCAGCAACACGGCGAACGATTCACAGAAACGATATTAGAAAATGTTCGAGCGCGAAACAATATTCGCCGGGACCCTACGATTTTTAAAACGACGACCCGGCATTTTTAAGTTTGGTAATAGGTCAATCCACGCCGTTTTTAAAACCAACAACACCACATCCTCACTGAAAGCGAATTCACTGTCTATGACGAGCGTTTTTAAAACGGAAACTGACGAAGTTGTGCTGCAAATATCACGTCACCTAAATATGGTTAATCCGTCGATGTTTATCTATCAAATAAAATTGCTAAAATTTTGTCTGGACTTTTGGTCTACAACGTTACGTTCGTCTGTAAAAACGGCCGAATCTCTTTCCCTTAAAAGGGTATCGGACAGTAGGCTGATTGAAAATTCTGGTACGACTCGTTTGCGTACTTTTATGTGTAAATATACTAAGCGTATGCTTAAATTTATAATAGATTTTAACGGTGGCATATAAGTCCAATATTTTTTATATAAGTTTAATGATCAATGGGTTTTTTTTTCTATATCTATTAAATTATGCCTTTTTATTCGCATCTCGATATTTTCCGGAATGTTCGGGCGCGCGGGCCCCTGGGTCTGTACCGCCCATGAAAAATTCCGGACCGAAATCGCACCCGTATAACATTCATGACAGTTCGGCGTTTATGCTGCCGCGTCTCCCGACTGCCCGTGCGCGCAATAAGAGCGGTTCGCACACGCGGTCGACGATACGCGGAGACGCGAAGTTCTAACCTCGTTCCCCGTCGTCATCGTCGTCGTCGTCGTCACCGTCGTGTACTGTACGCGCGGGACGGGGAAACACCGCCGCGACCGTAATTGAGACGGATCGTCGGCCGCCGAGCGCATTGCGTCTTTCGCGTTTCTCCTACTCGGAGGACCCACCTCGGCTCTCCAGTCTTCCTCTTACATTATAATAATATACATCTTGTGTACTGTATACACACATACATATAGATACGTATACGCTCCCGTTAAATACAGTGATCGATCGGCCCGATTCGATTTCTTCTTCGCCGAGTAATATTAAAAATAGTTTATCGCGTCAAATTCAAAAGCCGAAAACCGCGGCAGTGACCCGTTTCTCGGCAGCCGTCCGTTTGCCTTATGAATTCAAAGACGGGCGGGATATACTGGAAAAACAAAACTGCATGGATACGTCAACTTTTTTTGTTACCGCCGGATGCCCTTAAGACACGCGGAATACCTACGTTACACTTTCGAAAATATACCGAAAACTAAATATGGGTACTCCATTTGGATACACGGCAGAATAAATGCGTTCGGACCGGACACCCGTACAGAAATCGAAATTTAAAGTCCTTCTTAGTTCGAAAGTCCGAATCTTCTAGAACCGAGTATACTCCTAATAGTTGTAATTTGTTATTATTATTTGTTTTTTTTTCTAACATTTGAGATTCCAGAAAAACGTTTTAAATAAAGTCACTCGTCTCGTCCGGTTTTTTAATTTTTTTGGAAAACTTTTGGGACTACGAAAAAAAAAAATGTGCAAAGAAACTATATCGTCGGTCAAACATTTCAAATCTTTCAAAGTATATAACATTGTTTACTAACTGAAAAAAATGTTTTCTAAGAAACAACCACATCTTAATAATAAAAATAATAAGTGACTTTATAATTCAATAAACAGGCATTGCAAAAGTTCAAACGAAATGATTTTTACAATACATTTGTTTATTTTCTCGAATTTGTCTCATTTTTATCTCTCCCAGTCTCTATCTCTACAATAATTTCCGTACTAACATCGTGTGAAACTTGTTTTTCTTTCAGCCGGTGAATTGTCTTTAAATCGCGTAATCTATAGACGAACGTGGCACGCTGCAACAAATTATAACAACCGGCCGGCAACTAGTGTTCTGCATAAAAGGTACAATTAAGCTTTTTTAAGAAAACTTTGTTCCGGATCCCGATAAACATTCGATCCGGTCTGACACGGTCGTCGTCTCGATTCAATAAAACTCGTACAATATCATAAATAAAAAAAAATACTTTCTTTAGAAAAACTATATAACGTGTTTTGTGTTCGTTTCGATGAACCCGAAAGTTTTCTCGACCAAGGAAATTATCAGTCCGTTAAAAAGAGGGAAAAAAATAAACTTTAACCGTTCCGGTTTTCCGGTGCGCGAGTTTTAGGCGAGCACGTTTTCTGTATTATATCTTGGGCGAGGTTTCCAATCGTTTTCAAATATTATCGATTTGTTTTTGTTTTAGATTCTGAGTGGAGCGAAGAAGCTTATAGTTTTATAAAGATATTTATTTATTTTTTTCTGTGGACACCTTTTTTACCAGAAGATTTACTTCGAATATTACGTTTAGCAACTTTTCTGAATGGAAATCGGTGTAGGGAGTAGTCATTTTTCGAACATATTGTCTGATGATTATTTGCGTTTATCTTCTGATCGCACGTACTATCTTCCTCGTAGTTTTTTTCGCTACCGTATTACATTGTAAATCCGTCCCGAATAACTATAATATGTTTCCATCCGATAACCCCGCTGATGCTTACGCAGTGGAATGCATTTGATGGCAAAGTAAGAGTTATATTCTTGAACCCGTTGACCTCATTGCTTAAAAATACAAAAACTATGAATATTCATAGTTGATAATTAAATTTTAATATATACCAGATACATAGATATTTAAGCTGAGTCGTTACAAGAAAAAGCTTGGTTGACTGATTAAAAATTCACATTTTCGAATCCGGCTTTTAAAATATTCTCTCGGCCACGTCCACTCGATTCGTTTACGGAGGAAAAATTACAATTTATTGTTCGAGGATTGACCATTCGGCTCGTCTCTCTGAAGATATTATACGTAATATATTCTAATACTGTCTAATAATTCGGTTTAATGATAACCTCCCCCACTCTATGAATTCGACGGTTTTTTTTTTTATCGACGGTCGGTATATTATAGTCGCGCACGAGTTAATAATTTTCCGCGCAAACGGTTTTTCAACTTCGTGTTATCGACTCCGGGTGAGTGCGGTAATCAAGTCCGGGAAAGCGTTCGGGTTTAATAAAATCGTAATTTGAATATTTCGGACGATAAAAATATAATACGATGTTTATTATTATGTAGACGATGGACGAGCGCGATTCGGCCAAATATGCATATTGCCTACGTATTATAATAGTACTATATAGGTATATCTGATTATTATGCGCGTATACCTATTGTTATTTTTTTTTTTTTTTTACAACGAGCGTATCGTATTCGTACGCGTATACACTCGCCCTTGAACGAGAAAAAAACTGTAAACCGTCGTTAAAAAAAAAAAAAAAAATATCGTTTCGCCCGACGACCTGTTTACTAACGTGCGTAGATACATGTTCGTTTTTTCAATTATGAATATAATCCACGATAATATTATTATCGCTTCGTTTCGCAGACTAAAATGTATATTGAACAATATACGTGCATTAATTATACGATAATCCGGGCAGGGACAAGCGTGGAGCCTTAGATTCTCGGCCCAAAAATATCGGAGGCTTCGAATGGGTCTTTTTTTCTCGGGGCGAATTCGTAATATTTTGAAGTTTTTACTGAAAATGTGCAAAAACTAATGGTTTTGTTCATTTGGATCGACGGCAGTATTCATATTATTATAATATTTTCGTCTTTAACTCGAAGGTATGCCTATCCGAAATTCTGTTATAAACCTATTAATTAATTGTTGTAAATTGAAAACCGTCGGTATACCTACACTGCCGACGCAGCCCTGTATATAATAATTATATTAATTAAAATGCATAGTCAACGCGCATGTATATATACTTCGGTATTTGTAATGATAACCGCATAAAATGGCATTTATCAATACATTATTTGTCGCTGAAATTACGTCGTAAAAAAAATAGAAGAGAAAAACAGTTTATAGTATGTAGTTTACTTTTAAAATATTGTATTTAATTTTTTTTTTATTTTTTCGTGTAAATGTGTAAATAACATAATATTGTAAAATATAACGAAAACATGCGTAACGAGTGAAATATGTTTAAAGAAATCATTTAATTTGTTTCGTTTTTAAAAGAGAAATTAAATATTGAACTATTGGTAATAAATAGCTGTAATAGCGGTTTGGAATTTGGTCTACCAGCCTCTAGGTCTTAATCAGGTCCTGATAATAATAATCTACATAGTCACAGCGATATATATTCGAAATATTTTAATAAATTATCGTTACGTTCGATTATCGATACGTGTAAACGGTGTTGTAATTCATCAAACGATGAGTAAAAGAAGACACTTAAGACGAGATGATGAAAAGACGTGCCTTGATGGTTAGTAAAAGATTTCGAGAATTAAATTGCAGGCCCGCTAAGTAGAAACATTTTCAAAAATGTACTTAAAGTATTTCGTCTTTTACTTGTGGTAAATAGGATTAAAGTTAAATAAATAATTCCAACGCATCTTAGTAAAGAACCTAAAGAATCCGTAATACGTTTATAAAATGTATATCTGTCAAATACAACTACTACAGTTTTGTCTGGCTTTTCGGTCTAAAACGTTACATTCGTCCGTAAAAATGACAGAGCCCTTTTCTCTCAAGAGGGTATCGGGAAAAGATTGATTGAAAATTCGGGTACGACTCGTCAGCGCACATTAACCTTTTTTACGACTTGTTTGCGCACAAAAGCTCCACTTGTTTAAGCACACAAATTTTAGGTTTAAATATTAAATGTACAGCTTGTTTGCACACATTTACTTAATAAATAGTCTACAGTTACTTAATGTATTCTTAAACTTATAACAATTTTAAATGGTAGCATTGATGTCCAATATTTTATATACAAGTTTAAATGATTAATAGTTTTATTTTAATATTCTTTCCAAATATTTTTCAAATTTTATTCATTCATGTATTGTCTCTTTTCTTTTAAATTGATGATTTTTACTGTTTATCGAATCAATCTATAAATCAGTTTCATTTTGAACTTCAATAGTTGTATTGATTACTTGGTGCATGCATAGATGAGTAATGTAAAATTTACTATTACCCGTGTATTATTGTTTGTGAAAGGTAGACGATTTTCGTTGCACTTTGTGTACTATGTATATTCACGTAGAATACGAAATAAATATTATTTAAAAATTTGATTTTTAATATGCGCAAACTATTTATTTTTTGAAAATATTTTAGATACTGAGTAGAGCTAAGAAACGTATGGTTTTACAAATACGTTTACTTTTTTATTTCTGTGATCAACTTTTCTACCAGAAGACTTACTCCGATTCTTACGTTTAGCAACTTTTCTGAAAGGAAATCAGTGTGGGGAGGTACCTTAAAAAGGTCATTTTTCGATTTTCTCAATCAACCAACCGTACGGTTTTCGTTTTCCGATTTTATTTAATTTTCCGCTTTCCGAAAACGTGTCTCTCTCCGTACGGCCGGCCGTTCTCCAACACTATTTCTTGCCGTTATTGGTCGTCACGTATTGTTTTACTTCATTGTTTTCGGCGGTATTTTCGCTCGTATCCGTACGTTTTCTTCGATTTAACACCCGCAAAGTGCTCATTTTATTTTTCCGTCGCGCGATACCGTTTTTTTTCGGTCATTTACGTACATTAATCGAATATCCATCGAACAGAAATATAACTTATACACACGTAAAACGATAACTTTTAGTACAATTGTAGTGGCTAGGTAGGTAGGTAGATTAGTTTTGGCATTACTCATTAAGGTTCCCAGTTCAATACCGAGCCGGGTTTTTTTGTATTTTTTTTTTTCGAATTCTATGCACATACAAAAAAAAAATATATGTATACATAAATAGTGAAATTTGACCATAACAAAGGGCGGGGTTCGATTTTAATGATTAAGCCCCAAAAGACTCATGATCCTTATTGACAATGTATATGCGTTCGTCGGGCGTTCGCTGCGTAAAAAACGAATACATCAGTCCCGCGACGACGCGCCGAAATTCATATTGCGTAATTAAATGCAACTTCAATTTAAAGTGATTAAAGTCCGTGAATAAAACAAATAACTTTAACTGCCGACCTTATTCAGAGGGAACCACTACAGTAGCGTTTGAAAGTAGTCAGCGGGTGATGGTGGTGGGGGTGGGGGGTAAATAATTACAATACAGTGTGACATATTTTGTGTATAGTCTTTATTTTCGGGGCAAATCCGACGATGGCGCCGAACGGACCGTTAATAATAATCGTATAGTCCGTTAATAATATATTTTTGCCGTACAAAAATGCGATGTGTCCGATTTCAACGGGACGACGACAACCGTGAATTTCATAATACCTATAACCACTTAATATTATACTCGGGTAAAATGCGGTCGGCTGTCAAACTGCGAGTAAATTGAAACCGAGGCACAGACGTTCAACCGCAGAGAACGCGCACCGAGACATCCGAAACACGATATCTTGTTATCAACTCGGACGCAATTATTGCGCGCGTATTATTGACCTGCAGCTAATGCGGAACGAAGGGTAGTCGGTCGAGATTTGTCGCATTGGTGCAAAAATAATAATAATATACGTTTCAACGCATTCGAATGGGAAAAAATACAAAACGGGATCCAAGGAAACCGCGCGGTAGCCACGGAGTTCGGTTAAGTATACACGTTTTAAAAGGCTCTAATATTTACAACTTGAAAATATTTCGTAAATTTTTCCGGTTTTCCTATGTTATTTTCCGAGTATTCCAATTTGTGATGAAAACCCCGGGGAAAATCATAAACTTACCTCCTTGAAGTACCACTCCGGTCAAATTTCCTCTCAGAAAAGGTATTACACTCGAAAATCTGAGCGAAAAATGTTTTGGTAGAAAAGTTGTTCACAAAATAATAATAATAAAAAAAAAAAACGTCTTTGTAAAACCAATATATTCCTCGCTCCGCTCAGAATCTCAAAAAGAGTAATATTATTGTACACGGGAATTTGTCAAGAGTACGTATACTCGTACGCCGGTACATTATAAAGCTTATCGTTAATGAAAATACCTTGTCCCAAACAATGCGTAATACGACCTAATGTAAAAGTATATAAAGAGAAAGAAAAAATGCCGTGTTATAAATCGAAACGATTTCACGGTGTGCCGGCGCATCGCGTCCTGTAACATTGAAAACCGTTTTGCGCCGTACACACGAATGCTATTTGTGAATATATTTTATCATCGTAGTTTTTACATTTTTCCAACAGTATATGGCTTCCGGACTGTAGAACAGCGAAGGGGTTATGAATCCTATAAAAGCGCGGACAGAAGATAATCGTAATTAAAAGACATCAAGTCGTTACGGTGATTACTACTCTAATGGAAAAATAAAAAACAAGGAAAGAAAGCCGATACTGCTGATTATGTGCTACTGTTATGGGCGGAGATTCGGAAAGGTAGTGTGCATAAAGTTATTTTGTTTACATCTGTAAACAACGATAAATCACCGCTAACGAATTATAATTCTGAGCGAAATACGGTTAATAATGTTTTAAAACATAATATATTAAATAATAATATGTATATACACTGTAATATTTACGATTTTCATCGTAATTCAAATTTAAATGTTTATATCAAAAAAAAAAAGTACTGTATTTCACTAAACTTTCTTTCTTTTCAATATTATAAGCACAACAAATAGTGAGTCACGTGTTAAAATTTCAAACACTTTTGTGTAGTCGTACAATATGATTCATATAAAATTAAATTTAAATTAAAAAGAACTCTAAAATTTCAAATGTCTTAAAACAAGTCAAAAATCGACATAATGTTTTCACAATATTGTATCACGTTTATAAATCATTAATATAAGTATTATCTGTGGGAATTTCCGGTCTTTACGATCATTTTTAAGTTTTTACTGAATTACGCCAAAAAAAATTAAGTGAAAATAATAAAAACAATATCGTTGTAAACTTTACCGTTTTTCCGGATTTTTCCAATTATTATGGAAATCGCATGGAAAATCAAAAACAGACCTAATAAATAAACAACTGGATAGAAAATTTAATTAAAGAAAAGGTCTCTCCTCAGTTTTTGAAATTCAGAAAAAATTATCACTTGGTTTGCGGAGAAAAAAAATTTGTTAACCCCTGGATTAAATGTTTGTTAATTTGTAAGCTGTACCTATACTTATTCATTTGAACTATAAAATGAATCGCAATTGTTCGTATTTTTAACGAAATTTGTACTTAACTCATTAAAAAAATATCATTTTCATCAAAATAAAACCAAAAAAAATTTCAATTACAGCTATTAATAATACACATATGACGCTAGAATATTGTAAAACTTGTAAAGCGCCAAATATAATAGTGTTCGGTAAAAATTTTTAAATCTCTATTATTGATTTTCACTGAATTACAACGAAAAACAAAATCGAAAAAATAACCAGACATAATTCCACGGTTTATCCATATTTTATCAAAATTTCGAACTTCAAACGATATTTTGTTTATGGCTTTAAAAACAAACCATTATAAACCTTTTTCGTATCGAATGGTTCGAGCATTTTTGACTGTCGAACCGAATTTTAATACGTATTTGACCGATTTTAGTACATAACGGTAAAATTATAAAATGCGTGTTACAATATATTATTACGATACCTGCACAGCATCCGCGAAACGAGTGCCTATATCTGATTGGAGGCTTTAAACGTATCGACGTTGTGTCGGATGATATATTACAGCAGTATTGACGTATTACGGTATAGTTAATAATTTTGTAACAAAAAAAAAAAAAACCATATATTACACCGAGAGAGTTACCGGGGGATTTCCCTTCGTTTACATTCGTCAGCCGTGAAGTGCAGAGGGGGAAAAAAGTCCATCAATACAACTACAATACAAAACACTATAGGTACACAGTATTATATTATCAAAGGGTCGTGTTCGCATTCGGATATAGTTCAAGTACGAGGGTGAACACGTACAGAGAAGAATTGGACGAATATGCAACGTGTGAAATTATCGCACAATGGAAATTCTTACAATATCTACTGAAAATATATTATATAGTCTACACTATAAAAATATATCAATTTAAAAAACACTATACTCCACAAAAAAAGTCTACCGCCATAACGTAATACGTACAAAAAACGTGACTTTCCACGTCGCCGACATCCCATTTTGGCGACAAATAAACCGGTTTTATATGGTATTAAAAATCTTCCCGTTTCGTTCACACAAAAATCGGTTATATTATCATTTTGAATTAGAATATTATTGGTGCAATAAAGTTATTATTACTAAAGAAATTCCAGCTGAGGTAAATATATAAAGTTAGTATTATCGAAAATACAAATACTGTTAACAATGGCAATTAATAGGTAATCAACGGTTAGATAGATGCTCAAAAGAATTTATCTTATAATTTTCATAATTTAAGTTTAGTACAGTTTTTTGTAGTTCAGTACAATTACAATTTAATAGAACTATAGTGTAATCCCTCCAAAAACGACAACGAAAACGAGTTGTTTTAACAAGAGTTATTTTGGGATGGAATTTTGAGTAGGTACGTCACAGGTAAATAATAACAAAAAAAAAAAAATTTTGTCTGCAAAATGGGATGTTAGAAAAATGGATTGTCGGCAAAATGGGAGTTGGCGACGTGGGAATGAATAAAAAAACGAAACCACCCGTCAAATTACAAAAAACTCCTGCCCGAAATACGACATGAATAAATAAAGAATTAAAAATAAACCAAGATTTACTATGCAAAATCCCATACAATATTGTCGTAGTTGATAATAATATCTTTTCGTTAAGATGCAAAATGCAATTATAAATACAACTAAGCATTGTCAAAACGCATTTTCTATTTTATGTTTTATATTGGAAGTGAAGTGTATATAATGTATTATGTAAAATGTTTTGTTCAATATAAAGTATTTTATTGAAGTTTTCGTGTTGTTTTTATAAGTATAAACTACGAATGGGATTTTCAAAAGTTCGAATATACAAAAATGTCTGAAAGCTAAACATTAAAAGTTGGCCGGCCGTGTAAACGAAAAAGCTAATTATTTATTGAGCATTAATCAAAAAGCCCGGCGGAAGGAAGCCGGGTTATAGGCCCCCGTCAGCGTTGATTTGATCGAATAAACAGGGATTTGAAATGCCTAGGGGTGACGAAAATATTGAAAATGGCGATGATCGGGAAATTCGCAGAGACTCAGTGGCAGCGGTAAAACGCCTGCGCGGCTTGTAAGACCGAAACAAAATGATTACCAATTTAGAGAAAATAAATAATACGCACTCTGTATATATTTATTCGGTAATCGGTAAGTAGGTACCTATATTATGTGATTCAGTACTAAACCGTGCCGCCGCCTGACGTATTTATTCGTTGACGGAGACATAATATTACTATCGCTTACCTATATACTAGTATATAACCGAACACACAAAGGGTACGTCCTATACCTTTAGAGAATTCGAGAAATCGTGTAAAAAAAAAAAATAATAAAATAAAATACCGCGCAATACGCGAAACGCCGGCGTGAAAACGTGATATATCAAAGGATCGGAAATAATAGCGTATGCAGGTACCTTTACCCCGTGTAACATGAGGGCCAACACGACGACGAAGAAGAGAACGCCGGACACCGAAAGTTTGCGCATCTATTTTGTTTTCTCTCTATCTCTCGCTCGTACGCGAGACATCGGAAATTATTACACCTGTCCATAATATTATATCCATCCGCGGCAAAGGGGCTCGTTAAACGATTTCCAAACGAGCGGAACGCCGAACAGCCGCAGAGCGCTTTGAAACTGACGGATCGCCGGACGACTTTCGAAAATTTAATCACCCCGAAAGCGTTCACGTGAACACGTTATACACGCGTTTAGACACTCGCACGGTACGCCGATCGCGGAAACAAATACTCGTGTAAATAGCGAACGAGCACGGAGATAAAGACGTATCTCTTACGATTCTTTTTTCTCTCTTTTTATTTACACGTTTATCAAAATATACAATCCCGTTTGTTATTTATTTTCGAGATCCCAAACAAACCAAAGAATGGATCGTGTTTTTATCTCACCTGCAAACAACTTTTCTACCAATGCTCCGACTGTCAATTGTTTACAGGGCGGGTTTCACGACGATGTGCGGGTTTTTTTTTTTTATTTTGTGTTTGCAAGCAATTTTCTTACCAGAAATATATCGCTTCAATGTACCAAGCGTATAGCATTTTTTCTGAAAAGAAATTATGTATTTGGTTGTATGTAGGTTATTTTTTTCTCCAACGCCCACTTTAGGGTCTCGCACAGGGTTATTAATGCGAAATAATTATTTTTGTCGATTTACGGGTTGACTCGGCGATACGGACATGATAAAACACAAGACGAAAAGAGAAATAAGCGCAAAGGCTGTGACAAATGTCACGAGGATACGCTCATCGAACAGTATTTTAATATTAAAGAAACCAATTACTTAGTTCATTGTCGGTCTGTATTGCTTTTGGCGCGGGCAACGCCGGGCGGGACCTATAGTACCTTACAAAAACGTGTGAACAAATCATACGCTCGATTAGTCTTTTAATTTATTACGAGCACAAAACATGCATAGTTATTATGCATCGCCGTAGTATAGGCGTATACAATAAAATCAAAAGTAAATATGATTGCACCTAGTAGGTTTTTTTTTTTGAAGGGTACTGCGTTCCGTTTCTTTTTCTTTTGTCATCGGCGCGTTTAACAGAGCGAATGTCCGCTATAAGGGGCGGGCCAAAGCTGCCACTGCGTACGCGCGCGTATGATTGTTATTAATTTTTTAATATACGAAAAAAGTTTACCGTACGGCACGCCTATTTTGACATTATTCATACACAGTACAACATAAACACGGTAAACGAGTTATTAAATGTTATTTCGAAACGCATAGGTAATTTCGATTTGATGTGCCCCGCCAAAGTTACGCGTTATTTTGCAAACTCTCTAGTATTACGATAATCTCGAGTCCGGAGAATCAGCGCGCAGGGACAAAGTGTATTTTAAGACGGAATTTCGTTATAATGACGTCGTTATTAAATTTCAATTACGCGTAAAGTCTAATAAGGTATTATAATATAGTTGTAACTGTTATTGTAATACCTGTATACGTCTTGTATGTACCCCTCAAGAACGTTCCTTTGAAAACATTTACGAAATTTCACTCTCTTAAAGTTTTAGAACGCAAGTATCTTTATTATGTTACGCAGTAACGGTCTTGTAAACGCTCTACTCAAAATCTAAAATTATCTTTTGCACCCAAAATTTAAAATTCAAATTGTTCGTTAAATGTTCACTGCTTTTTTTTGCGCTGCACGTGCAATGGACGGAACAAGTTTTATTCTATTTAATAGTGGAGCCGTATCACCATTGAAATTATATTTTATTTTGGTGTAAAAAAAAAAGCTGACCCTATCGAAATCTGTTTTTTATCATTTTTAAAGTCAGATTTTTACGAAAATCTTAAAAATCACAGCATTCAAAATTTAAAACACGTTTAATTGAACTTCTCTGAGAATCGTTTTCGTTAGCAATGATTATCAGTAAATACAAATTTATGTATCCTATCTTTTCAACCTTTCTACCTATAACAGCGGCACACCCATCGGTATCAGATTTTGTTTTCTTTATTTTGTAAATATTTCGCTCGGTTTGATCGCACGAAAACAGCGTTCCAATGATATTAGACCAAAACCAGAAATAATTTACGAATGAGCACTGTAAATAATATTGCGCACTGTGCTTATTCCCAAACATCGATTGACATAAATTTTGTACCGTTTTACGACGTTTCTTGTCCCCAAAATAAAACCATATTGTATCAATATGATTAAATTATAGAAATGTATTAGATTCTGAACTTGGCCAGGAAAGTATTGTTTCTACTATAATAATATAACCGTGTGTTTTTTTACTCTCTGTGAATAAATTCTTTACCGAAAATTTTGTTTCGATCATCAAGCATCGTTTCTAAAAAATAAATTAAATCGAATTAAAATTTCCAAAAAAATATATTAACGTAATTTTCCTCGGAATCATTTTTATACAATGATTTATCACTACATTCCATATATTATTAAGTATATCGCTCTTATTATTAAACCGTCATATACCTTTCTAACTTCCCGTTTTAAATTTGTATAGAACAATTTTTATACTATTTTTGTTATCATTACAATAGTGGACGATTTACCTGTCTCGCGATTATTTGTGAACTTAATACGTTAAGTCAGGTAAGGTTAATTAATTAATAACTTTTTATACATTTTTTAAATAATTTTTATCGTTTTTTCATCACAGTTTTTCGATCATTTAAGAATATTTATTTAATATTTTAATATTTAAGAAGAAGCTTATAGTTTTACAAAGATGTTTTTATATTATTATTTGTTTTTATCTGTGCGTAACATTTCTACCAGAAGACTTACTCAGATTTCTGCGTATAACATCTTTTCTGAAAGATAATCGGCGTGGGGAGATACTTTAAGGAGGTTATTTTTCGGTTTTCTTAAAAACTTTCTCATCAAATTTGAAAATAAATTTCTGATATTTTTTTTTGTATTCTAAGTTAGAGAGAGTCTAAACGACAATAGAAGGTAACCAACAATGCCTATTCCAACCGAAAAAAAATATTAAAATCCCAAATACACAATTTTTAACTCTCGTGAAAACTATGAATTATGTCGTACTGCGATTTCGTTTGAAGGAAGAAGGGAAAATCGTTGTTTATCTTAAAATAACCTAGCCTAACCAATAACTGCTGTTTAACGCCAACCGAGATTATAGTTTCAGATTTACTGCAGTAAATATCAACCAGTGATTTTTTCGAAGGATTTAAGAAGATTTTCTCGGAGTGAATTTCATTTCTTTTTTTATATTTTTATCTACAAATTTACGTATATCATTATGGTATCGTTAAAATTTTTTTTTGACAATATTTGCAATTTTTATCACTACTCCTTAAACCTGAAACGAGTATACCATTTTGTATTTTAATCCGTATTCAAAATGGAGGGGTTGCTATTTTAAAACCTAACGTGTGTATTCATTTCAGGTACACAAAGAATGTATGAACAATTGAAAATACTGATAAAATAAAGCTTAAACGGTTCCGTAATTGTTGAAAAAAAAAAATATAAAAATACAGAAATCTAACTCCCTGACAAGTTGATCACCCTGTATGATAACGAATTTGTATGCACACCTACGAACGTACGTATTAAATACGTAATGCAAACAATATCTTCTCGACGCTGCGCTTATCACTATATAATTTTTCAAAACGACCGAGTCGCTTATTTTCAGTCATCGAAACTTTTAAAAACGTATGTACCTATACAGAACTATATACATTCATGTCACTGACGAACGCACGTAGTCTACGCATAAACGTCAATCATTTTATAGTTTTTAACGTGAAAACCGTTTGAATTTAAAAATAAATTAAATGCCTTATACAGTAGTGAAATAAAAAAAAAATTCACGTTTAATAGAATTAAACGTGTTTTGAAATGCCATGATAGAAAACGAAATTATTGCATTACGTTTTTCCGCATCAAATATAATTTTTGACGAACCTGGTGCTGATTTTTCATTATTTTTTGTTTGGTTAACATAATTTTATCCACATAAAACCGAATAATAAACTAGAAACTACTGAACTCAAAAATGTCAATAACGTCTGTAAATAGCTTAAAAATCGGTATAACGTTTTGAAAAGTTTACCGTCTAAATAACTCCAATATAAATATTCTGTGAAAAATGCTTATCTTTTTATATTTAAATGAATTATGTTAGAAAAAAATCGAAACTAACGTAACTATTATCACCGTAAACTTTCCCGGTTGTCCTACGTTTTTTTTTACCCCTGGTAGTTCCCAATTATTGGCAACACTACAAAGAACATCAAAAAATGACCTGTCAATGGACCAATTAAATGCGAAATTCTACATAAAAAGTTCTTTTATAAAATTCTCGTAGAGAAAAATGTTCGAGGGTACGAAAAAAATAAATAATAATAATAAAATCACACATCACAATATAGTAAAACCGACTACAACGCTGGTAATCTAAATCGCGTGAAAATTTAAATTTAATCATATGCCTAACAATGATAGACTACTTCGAGAACATATTATTTTAATTTTTATCAGATTTCGTAAAAAATATGAATTTTTGATTGTTTTTACAACAACCGCTCGTCAACGATGTTCAATATGTTTGGTTTTTTTTTTAATCCACGTGGAAAATGTCGACTAATCGTTACCATTTTAAACGAGCGTGCAGCAGCTGTCGACCATAAATATTCCACGATATTGTTTTGTTACGTTTATCGTTTTTACCGATATTATTTCGAACCCGAAACATACTATATTATAATGAAAAATATGACTAAAACAATGAATTATACAGACATTGACAAAAAAAAATATATATATATATATATACATAAAATATATCAGACGGTATGATTTTCATCCACGTAAAAAAATGTATATTATTAGATGATTTAAAAAACCGTATAACCGTATGTTTTTATTTAATTTTTCCGTATCGTTTTGTTACATTTCGGCCTGCTGAGAGACTAGTTATTTTCTCGTACTTTCGAATACGATACAAACCTCTTCTCTATCATTTGCAGGTTCTTTCGCATCGCTGACTCCCGGCTACCTCCAAGTATTTTCACCATTTATTATTATTATTATTATTAAAGAGAAATAACGATTAAATATTTTTGATTAAACGGTTACTTGTTTTTATTTAAAAGTATATAAAAAGTAGCCATAAAAAGAACACTACGTTTTAATGTTGTAGTTAGGTACTTTAAGAAGGACAAATTTCAAAGTGGGAAATAATTTAACGTACACGAAGTAAATCTTTTCAATCAATTTTATTTTGAAATTCGTTATGAATATTCAAATAATTTGTAGCTAACCTAGCATTTTTTTGATAATTTAAAACATTTACAATATTGTAAGCGTTCTCTCGAACATTTTTTTTTTTTTATTATATTATAAAAGATAATTAAATTAGTTTTTGAACGTTAGTGTTGTATGTCGATTTTTAAAAAATTTTATAAAATCATCGACCTAAGATATCAACAAAAAAAAAAAGAGAATCGATAGTCGTCAGGTACGTAGCCAGGATTTTTGTTGGCCGGAGGAGGGTCTGAACCTAAAATGCATCGCCAACTACCAGTAATTGTCTTGGGAAAAAATAATCGTAATGGGCAGAAAATCAAAGTACTTATCATTTAATTTTTTAATGAGAAGCTTAAATTTTGGAGGAAGGGCGATTCTAGGCCCATGGATATCGTAATACTGTGGGCCCCTGGTCTTGGCTGGTAGTATTATATAAACACCAATATTTTGAATATGTTTATGCATCCCTAACATTGTTTGGCACCAGGCCCAAAATCATCTTAATCCGGGCTTGATTTCCGATTATCCTCCTACGTTAGTGGTCATGAGTAGTATGAAAAAAAGTTTTCCATTTTTGTTTTTTTCGATTATTACTATTTCTATAGATAATACCACCCCGTGGGGTTTGTTCGCACTACGTGACATAAACTACCTATATTTATTTTCGGGAAAAATGAACGTACGAGTATTGTTTACATCGGGATGACGGGCGCGGTAAACAAAATAAACGTTAGCAACGACAAGGACGGCAGTGGTGCGAAAATATTACGCGAATCAATTTCCCAAAACGCGAAACTTGGTCACAGTAATTATTATCGCGGTTATATTGCAGTTTAATATCGTTTTTAATCGTTGTACGAGATTGCGTTTAATTATCATATCGTCTCGGGAATACTAACGTAGCCCGGCTATAATTAGCGGTTGGTTTTGTCTTACTTTTCTTTCGCGATTACACGCCGAGTTTTTTCGATGACAACCGCAACGGCCGTGACGTGTTCAAGGCTCCGCGCCATCGGTTTTTTTATACCTGTCGAAAACGAAGTTTCGAAAATTTTCGACACGGTACCGGGATTTCGCGTTTCGTTTGTTATTGAGTTTTTGGGAGTCCTGGCGCGGAGCACCGTACGATCGTTTCTTCCTGCGTTACACGTTCCAGAAGGGAATTCCATCGGTTCACCGAGTTTTATTAGCATTTAGATGTACAGGCCAAAAATCATGTGAAATCCACATACGTTTTAATCGAAAACAAATATGATTTCACACGGTTCGCCGAGGCGAATTTCGGGCTTAAATACGTTGCATTACTAAATTATTATTAACAACGCGTATCAAACGTGTGCGAGTATTTTGAGACCAGTACAACGACATTGAACTTTTACGCGATGCTACATGAAGTTAGTACCTACCACAAAAGGTATAGAGCTCGAATTTCTGAGAAAATAAACTCTGACGAATCGTAAACAATTTTAAACAACGTTTAACAAGTCAACATATATAAGAGGTTGTTGAGGGATATTTGGTTGAAGTATGTTATGCATATGGCACGTCACGTACGTCCCGCGTACAATTAAATTATTAAATACGCGAAAATATTGTCTCACCCACGAGCCGTTTATACGAGTAGAGGGAATTGTGTTTTTTTCTTTTCCTCGCCCGTCTTGGTCCAACAAGTGTCCTTCCGGCGGCGGTGCCAAGGACGCGGCGGAAAATTATGTGACGGTTTCCGAAAGAAAAAAATACTCGAGAAATGACGGACAAAAAAAAACGCTCCACTCCACTGCTATTATATACGTCACGAAACGTGTCGTGTCTTGCCCCGATCGAAACCGGACGAAAATATGTTCACACAGATGCGGTGTCGAGGTTGATTAGTATCACTCGTGCGATTTTGGCGAGTGTCAGAAAGTCGTCCTGAACATCTAATTATAAGTACGACTATTGCAATGTCGTTAAGGTTCGTTTGAAACCCATTTACGCGTGTCTCATCTACGGCAGTCCCCACTTAAAAATTATAACATAAATATTTCAAAAAACGAAATGTTACGAATAATGTATAAATAAGCTAATTATTGCCCGGTTCCTTCGCGACGAGAATTCATGTAAATCCGTAATAGTTGTTCGTTTCCAAAATCAACTGGTTTTGGTCACTGTACAATCTTGGACAAGACGCAGTCAATATTAAATATACGGATAGACAGTCAGTATTATTTTTGCCGTAGTGAATATTCGCTAGCGTCACAATAAAACATACGAACAAAAAGCTCGAATTACCTCTCCTAGCCCAGGATAGCCGAGCTCCTTGTGTCCTTCCTTGGATCGCGATCTAGAATAACCAAGTATGGATCATAGAAGCGACCTATCCAGTATCTTTTAACAATACATACGGATCTATGATTCCTCTTATCTGTTAATAACTGCTTCGTATTATAATTAATTTTGTACCAAGCGTTATTTGGCGACTATATATTATTTACTCGTAATAAAAATTTCTAGAATATATTCGACGTTTTTTTTTTCTTTAGATTCTGAATGGAGCGAAGAAGCTTATTGTTTTACAAACATTTTTTATTTCTTTTTCTGTGGACAATTTTTCTACCAGAGAAATGGCTCCGATTTGTACGTGTAGAACCTTTTCTGAAAAGAAATCAACGTTGAGAGGTACTTTGAGAGGGTCATTTTTCGATTTTCTCAAAATTTTTCTCACCAAATGTGAAAAACCAAAAAAAAAAACGTTAGAAGAACATATTATGTCCTTTTTTTTCCTGTGAATAAGTTTTCTACCAGCAATAATTTATAATGATAGTTATTTTTCTAAAAGGAAATTTGACTGGGGAGGTACTTTACAGAGGTCATTTTTCGATTTTCTCAAGAGTTTTTCCAGCAAATGTGAAAAACCAGGAAAAATATGAGAAAAACGGGAAAATCTGTACATTAATCAAATATTGTTAAAGATAATATTTAATACCTATTTAATTATTTTACCATCATACGACCTATATATAGTTGGCAAAGCATCAATATCAACTGAACTGCACTCAGAATCGTTTTTTCGTTAGCAATGATTTTCGTCATTCTATAATTTTAGATTCCGACTGTAATGAAGAATGTATTGGTTTCACCAAGATGTTTTTTTTTTTTTTTATCCTATGTACGAAATTCTAAAAGAGATCTTGCTTAGATATATACGCGCGGCACCATTTCTAAAAGGGAATGTTGTCCAGATGATACTTTTAGAAGGTCAATGTTTGATTTTCATAATATCTGGGAAAAACCGATAATAAAGATAAAACGTAAGAAAAACGGGAAATTCACGAAAATAATGCTTAGATTATTTTTAAATTTTATTTAAAAAAATTCGTATTGACTCTATGAACTAAAAATTCGGACAAAAATTTGTTGAAAAAAATTAAGCCATTTTTGGGCTATTGATGGGCATTTAAATTTTGCGATTTTTATACATATTTATTTGGTAGGTACTCCTATGGTAAAATTATTAGACTTGAACAGAAATACTTCAAAATTTTGGTTTATAAAGAATCTTGTTTTGTAGTGAAAAAAAAAAAGAAAAATTGAGTTTAATGTGATATCCTCTTTTTATGATGAGACAAAAGCGAAATTTTTGATTTTGTATTTTTAAAAGTTTTTCGATTCCAAAGATTTTTTCGGTAATTTTGTCTGTTTTTAAGTGTACATTTAAATTTTAACGAATCAATAGATTTTATTTAGATAATTCAAAATACTACCTCACGCAATTTGATTTTCCGTACAATGTTCTTAAATCGTTTACGTTATGTGGTTGCATCCTTCAACAGTAAAAATCGGCAATCATTTTATATTTGATTTCTATGACTCGTTTACGTTACGTTCGTTAATAGCTGCAGTACGTCACTCATCCGCACGCTCAAACAAGTGGAACTTTGTTTTTGCACTTTTCGTTGTTTTTTTACTCCCTTTTTAAAAAATTCGTTTGGCGTTTTCGGATCGTTTATTAGGGTTATTGTTTCGCTAAATGGCAATTGCAGTTATATTTTTTTGAATGTTTTACGTTGATTTTTTTTTTTGTTCCCGGGTCTTTGAAAATCCGGGCCGGAGTTAATATTTTCTTCACGGCGGTGGATAAATGCGCGTAAATTCGCACCATACCGCGGAAGAATAAGAAAATCGCCCGAAGGAATTCTATAACGCCGGCAAAGAAACGAATCGGTGACGTATTATCAAATAATTAACCGTAATTTCCCTGAGTATTTTGAACAGTCGTTCTTTTCCCTCGGGAAATCACTTCCGCAAATGAGTTTTTAGTCGTAGTTTAACCGACCGGGATTGCACCACGGCTGCTGCGATTCGTGTGGTCGGTATACTTTTCGAACATTAGCTTTTTTACCGACCTGTAGCTATAAAATACGGGCGCAAAATACAACAGGCGACGATAAGCTGCTGGGTTCAGGAATTTCTAATGATATGATAAAAAAAATAATAATCACTCTCGAACCCAGCAGCTTTGTATTATTATACAATCCGAACGGAGAACGTTTGAATAGTTTACAAAGACGGTTATTTCGTAGGTACAGGCGGTACGCATTATAATATGTTACGGACAATGTTGTGAAATCGGTTAATAATGTGTTTATATTTATACTTGTTTGTTTATAAAAATCGATTGCGGGATGATAGTTTTTAGTGTTAGGGTGTATTTGTTTATTATTAAACTTAAATGCGAGGATATTGTCTATATTTGTACATTAGGTTTTCTACGATATTTTAATTTTCAAGCGAGTTATGAGTATGTAAAATATAACAATTTTAAAATCATCTCATCTCGCTTGAAAATTAAAATATCGAAAAAAAACCTACGTATAAACACAAACAATTTTCTCGCCTTTACGTTTACGTTTCGAATGATGAAATATACTAAATCGTGTTTTCGAATACGAGACTTCCATGAAACGTTAAACCGCTGAATGGCGAGGTCCGGACGTAGGGCGATCGGCCAAAATTAACGCGCAACAGAATCAAAAAAAATGAAGATAATCTTAATATATTTTTTCGAATCCAGCGGCATTATTCGAAACGGATTTGTTCCTCCTGGACAAACAGTTAATGTGGTATTTACCAAAATATCCTCGACCGTCTTTTGAAACGCGTAGGTACAGACCAAACAAACGATTGGTTTCTGATGCATAACAATGCTTCAGCCCATTCTTCGATAGTGATAACACAATTTTTGATTGAAAATTCCGTTATTGTAATCAACCACCCACTGTACTCACCCGATTTGGCCCCAGCAGACTATTTTCTTTTTTTACAAGCTGAAAACTGCCACGAAAAGAGAGCGTTTTTAACGATGTGCAGGCTTTATCGAACAAAACGTGACAAGCCTATTGCGAAACATTCCAGAAAACGATTTCTCCAGAGCCCTCCGGGAACTGTATGAGCGTCAAAACTATTCGTAAAGAGCAGGGGACTGTGTTGAAAATTAAATAAAATTGTTTGCTTTAACTCGATTGTTGTATTATTATTTGTTAAATCAGTCCCGGAACTTTTTTAATACACTGTGTATATGGTATATATATATATATGTATAATTTATCGTACACTTTTGTATTTTGTATTTTACGTTAAAACTATTGGAATATAAATACTTTTTTAAAATTAGTTTTTTTTTATTATCTTCTTTGTGACGACGGTACAAAAACCCACGAGAGTTTTTTTTATAATTGTTTTTCTTGGTGTGCGCTCAAGGTAGGAACGCAACGAAAAAAACATTCACTCCGCATCTATACATCTACGCAGACGCCTATGACCATAATAATCAAATTATGTTGGTTTTTTTTTCCGACAGTGTATCTCGGGTCCTATTTATTTCGAATTTGGCGATTTGTTTCATAGTGATGTCTTGTGTAATTTGTTTCCCCTTTATTTTATCGGTCTAAATGCCATAAGTGTGTACGTTTTCTAACACATACTAATAATTGGAATACTTTGTCACTGTAATGCACTTTTCATTCGGCGAAAAGTCATAAAATTATAATATAAAACTTGAGCCATTTAGGACGGTATTTTAGTTATGCTATTAAGTAACTTCGTCATTTAGCAGTCATGCAATTAAGTCACTTTGGAATTTTCAAAATTTAATTTATTTGCATTGAAAACCATAATTAAAATTTACTTAATCCCTTCTTCTCTGGGACCAAAGATAATATTATATTGTTATCTTCTGCTAAGAGCACTGTAAAAAGTTTAGTGTTCAAAATTTAAAATGTTCTCAAAATAATACGGTACTTTGAGCCATCGATGTGAATTTAAACCAATACAAAAACCAATTTCGAAATGGACCAATACAAAATATAAAACGGTACGACGAGAAAATTCAATTCCGGAAACGGCGAGCCCTGTGTTGCTCACTGGTAGTTTTTTTCGTTTACGAAAGAACTCTCCGCTTCTTTTTTTTAGATTTATTTACTTTTTTTAACAGCGCCTAAGCCGTCACAATGGTGGGGCGATTTCAAGTATTACGATTTCCGAATCCTGCGATACTTGCGAAAAGATCGGTTGGTTTTTCGGTGGTATCTGTGGACTAATTGTCACTGTCGAACGTGACAAAACGTTTGCAATATTATTTATGTACCTCCAGATGCCTATACATGGATATTATTTTTTTTATCACTCGTAACGGATGGGTACGCGGTATATTTTACAGTCGAGCACGGCGCAATACAAATATGAATAATGCGGTACGATCGTTTATTTTAATGTCGTCCAACTGTTTAGTTCTGACGACGGTCACACAAATTGTACATTCTGGGTGCCGTGTATAGCGAATAACGGTCGCAGAAACCTCGGCTAGCGCGCGCGCACATAATCCCTATTCCATTAGCACGAGGCTTACTGTACCAGTCATCACGTATTGTCGTAAATCGCGTCGAGCAATCAAATCCAACCGAGCCCCGCATTGTTCTATACGATAAAAGCTATAAGAAAAAAAAAGAAACAAATAAAATATTGTTTATACAACTAAAACGAAAAAAAACGGACATAATTCGCAAGATGAGTCCACCACTGTTGTAGTTGGTGAGAAGAATATAGGAAGGTAGGATATAATAGAGGGGGATTTAATGTTTATAGGAAATATTATGTTGGCAACGATTAATCTATGTTACCGAAAAACGATTCTGAGTGGACTTCGGTTGGACGTGTTTTGAATGACCATAATGTTTATGATATTCGTTAAAATATTTGCTACTAAAATTCTTATAAAAAAAAAAATTCTACGTTATACGCTCGATTTTTATTTTCGATCGCAAAGTACGACTTATAATAAAAACCTCCGGTTAAATTTTCAAGCATTTCTATTTGGTTTAACAATTTAATCCACAGAGTACCTACCGAATGAAAATTATATAAAAAACCTCACAATATTTAAATGTCTGTAAATAGTTCAACAGTTTTCTAAAATCTTTTGAAAATTTGACCACGTCTATTAAAAGTAAAAATCTTTCAATTTTGATAGTTAAGTCTTTTCGGATATCTTTAGCTGAATCAGAACAAAAAATAAAAATTTAAATTAATACTTTTCCTATATTTTCCAGTTTTTCTTACGTTTTTACCACTGAATTAAAATTTCCTTTCAGACGCTACACATGAAAATCGGAGCAAATTTATGATATAAAAGTCGTTCACAGAAAAAAAAAATAAACGAAACATTGTAAAACCAATACATTTCTCGTCTTACAATTAGAATCTATAATCGAGTGGGTCGATCACTACAGTAGATGGATCGTTCGGAAGATATTATCGATAAATAGTCGTTTATAATTGATAACGTATTGTACACGTCGCTAAACCATTGAAAATGATAAACGATTCTGAGCAGAATAGTAAATTGGTGACGTTGTGTCCTTATGTCGTCAACCAATAAAGTAACACGAAAATCGGCAAAAATAAAAATATCAAAAAATTTGTTCGTATAAAATGCCGCCGGCCGAACGTTTTGCAATTCTAAGTATCGCGCAATAAATCTGAGCATTTTTTTACTCGCTATAAACGTGCGTTCATAATTTAAACATGTGACTTAAAAATTGTAATAATTATAATAGCTAAACTAATAGTAAAACTATAATGGTTTGTTCACTAGACTCATAATGAAACGGATTTGCCGCTAGCTGATTATTATTCGTCATACATAATACAAATACTGCCGAATTTTAAATTAAAAAAATGAGACGCTCGTGGAAAACACGCATCCCGAGTATCTACATAAATCCATTCGCGCGACAGTTTAAAGCAAACCTTTATTTCGCATTTTTCGCCGTGTTTGTTTTCTTTTCTTTTTGAAACACGTGGCCAAAACTTTTTTCGTTCCCACAACATTCTCGAATAGTTTTCGGGACTTTTGGTGTATTAAAATCGTGTCTATCGCTTCAAACGTGTATTTCGAATACACGACGATTATAATCGCGCAAACACGAATCCTAAACAATTTACGTGTATACGTCATTATAACATGTTTTATTTCCGATAAATTCTTGATATTCTCGGCAGCCTTATAGGCATAGGCGTAACTAAAGTAAAAATTCCAGAGAAACTATATAGCCTCAAACAAATTTATTTGCTTGAATTTGAAAATTTAATATTATCGCAGTCATAAAAACAAAGATTTGAAAATATTAATATATCTAACTATATTTCAATTGGAGGGGGGCTATTCGGAGAACTGTAGGAATTAAGCTCCTCCAAACCCCCCCTCAGTTACGTTTATATATATATAGGAATTGAAGATCATAATTTATAATCGAACTAAAGGCGTGCTCTATTCTGTTATTTATAAAAAAAAAAAAAAAATTTCCCATCAGATCGAGCATGTATACACCCTGATTCTTTTATACACCCGCGCAGCTTGGCCTCTTTACGTTACTAAGTGCCAATGTCGTCGTCGCTCAGAATCCGTTACGTCGATAGCTACACTCGTTTGAGAAAAGTAGCGAGTAGTGTACTCACAGCCGATTCCGTAACGAACGAGAGAAAAAACCCGCAAAAATCTAATCCGCTTAATATCCCACGTGAAAATTGACGGTTCGCGATAAATACGGATCACCTTGATAATTGTATGCCCTACTGTTATACTGGATAGGAACGCGATCCAAGTACGACGCGATAGCGTATGCGTGTGCCGTAAATGTCGGAATGGAAATTTTTGAAAAAAAAAAAAGTAATTGATCCCGGCGATGATAATATATTATTTTCCGGAACGTTAACGTTTTGTTTTCCGATAACCATTATAGAATGTGGGGAAAGAATTTTTTTTTTTTTTTAGACGCCTATATATAATATTATACCGCCACCGAGATCGCACGTAGCTGTTCATAAAAAATGGATTACACTATACACATACCGGAGTATTGCGTATTATGCGACAGAAAATAAAAATAATACATAGACGAATTTATCGAAATAAAAACGCGCGTACAGGGCGATTCTCTTCGCGACACGGTTCCCTACAGGATGATTTCGAGTGATTTCGATTTTAGCGTTTTTCGGTAATACAATTTATTTCAATACTACGGAACCGTTCGAGCTTTTTTTCAGTGTAATAATTTAAACGCCATTTTCGAATGTTTACCGCCACTCGTACAATGATACGGCCGATCATGTCAAACGGCTATCTCTCCCCCCCTCCTCTTATATTCTTCGACACACGCGAGTCGAAATAACAATAGTCTTCCAAAGAATACATGAAACGCACATCACTGCAAGTGAATATTATTTGATTATTTACCGTTTATTGGTCTTAAAAGTTTACGATTTTTTTTTTATGGGTAGGAGAAAATCACATTTGTCGGAAAAACGGTACCGAACCAGTGGCATATCCGGACTCAATATCACTCAAACTTCCCCACTGAACGCGTACAAATTTAATGAAATGTAACAGCCTATGGGTAACTCAACTAATTTACAAATAACTATTGTACTACACGTTCCGGAAAAACTTCAAGAAATAAGGCTTTGCGTAATACATTTAGATATATTTTGCTGGAATCATTAAAGTACACAGTTTTAATTTTATGTACTTTTAATTACTCCTCTCCTCTTCTCCTTTGAAAATCCTGGGCGCCTACGCCACTAAAATGAATCGTGGCAAATGTATCACTCTGTATAACGCACAAATATCTTCCTATACACATATAGGTACTCGGATATTCGCATAATATTATTTTACCGGCTACGCAGTCATAGTAACATGATTTCTAAATATAAGGTACGACACAAATTCGATTCATAGGCATGAGTCTTCGAACTTATTTTGCATAATATAGATTGTGTGTTTCACGATTTTGAGCACATTATAATATTTGCAAAGACGTATTGATTATATTTTTTAGTTTGAACAATGTTCATGTCCCTGTAGCCACGTGTAAATCGATGACTAACGTTTTTAAAAAAAGACGATACCGTTGATGGGTGGTATGCCACTGTTTTCAGAAGAAAGTTAAAAGGGAATATGTATTTAGAGTGATTAATTCCGTATTTGTACATAACGATAAACCGTGTCTAGCGATTCTGAGCAGAATATTATTAGACGTATTTTGTCGCTGATTGCTGGGATAATCCAGAAATCAACAATTGTTATAAACACTTTGACGGTTTTTCTTTTTACTATTGGCCGTATCTTAAGAAAATTGTAAAGAAAAAAATCGTCTCAATGCGCCAACTAGATTAAAAATTCTACAAGTGATTCCCTATATTTTTTTTTTTTTGATTTGAACAAGTTTTTTGGTAGACAAATTGTTTACAGATACCAAACATGAAAAATAAGAACAAAAAGCATAGTAAAACAAATACCATTCCTCGATTCGCGATGAAAGGAATTTTGGGACCCCGAAAAAATCGGATAATTTTAAAATAATTACATTTACAAAAACAAAAGTTTTTTTTTTTTTTAAAAAAAGTAAAGAAAAAATATTATTTTATTGAAAAAAAAAATCAGTTTAGAAGTAAAAATGAAATCCATTGAAAAATTAATCTTCAATAATTAATAATGTAATGTATTATGATATAACAACCGGTATTACGTGATATTTCAAATTTTTGCGCTGGAAAAAATTTCGGTAACATATGTCACCAACCTCCTCATGAATTTCAAAATTTGACTGTATACAAATCGAACACTACGGAGTGATTAAACACGCACAGCCCATTTTCATGTGGAATTGTTACGCGTGTAGTTAATGTCGATGTTTCCGAATATTTAGATTTTTCTCTAAATGTATAGAATATCCCGTGGCGATACCAACTTCAGGTTTTCAGACGCGTGTGTTTCAATGCAAATTTTAAATCGGATGATTTTTCTAAACCTTTTGATGTATTGTAATCGAAAGTTGTACGAAATGTTTCCAAGTCGTTCTACTTTAAAATACTAAGGAGTAAGGACAACAGTCAATAAAGCATCGTTCACGTGGCGACACGGCTCGCGACGTTTTCACATTGTTCCACTACTCTTCCCCCTCTCCGAACTTAAAAGCCAAATATCTCGTCGACGAAAATCGAAAACGTCAACGCCGAAACGTGTTTAAATTCCATTGCTCCGTCTATTTATGGCAATTTTTTTTACATAGATTCTCGTTTGAAAAGCCAAAGTCGGCATCGCCACGGGATACTCATCTAAATGTTGTGAAAAATCTATGTATTCGAGTATATCGGCTTTAACTGCACTTGAAAATTCCGAAAACCGTTATTTTAACGCACGCACAATTTAATCGCCTTGTATATTATAATCGTTTAAAGCTTAAATTCTGACGAAAACCGTTAAAATCGTGACATTTCGTTTTGCTCCGAGAGCATTTGACGCGCTCTATAAACACGTTTAACGGAACTTCACCGTGAATCCTTTTTCTCTTTTTTTTTTTCTACGAATTATAAAAAACGGTTTTACTGCTCACGCGTCGTCCCGTCAACGGGTCGTGGTGGCTGTGGAAAGGGGGGATCGACCCCATCGGTAATCACATTATTCCCCCCACCCTCTCTCTGTCTGGATTTTCATCCATTACCGGCCCCGCCGCGGCCGCATTATACCAAACTCATTGTTTTCGCACAGTGAAATACGTAATATTATAATAATATAAACGAGTAATTTCATTAAACACCGTCGTTTTATTTTCGACGCCGACCGAAACGAAAGTGCATCCGCTCGGCTCACGTTTTCGTATAGGTTCGGAATCGATAAAAGTATTATAATATACTATTTAAGCTTTTAACACAATGAAAATGCGTTTTACTTCTCGCGTTTTTATTATTATTATTATTATTTTTATTTTTTTTTTTGTTTCGGTTGACAAAACTCCGAAGTGTTTTCACCCACCCACGGTGCAGAAGTATTTTTCCGTCATTTTTTTTTATATATATATACACACACAGATATTTTTCTTTCGCTTTGTTATACAATAATAATTGTGCAATATCAACGAGAATGTTATAGGGGAAATGTTAAGAACGCCGAAATACGAACGAAACGCCCATGCATAATAATATGCATGTGGACGTCTCGAGAGGGGTCGAGGACGGTAATACGGGGCAATTCCCGCACCTGAATTTTCGACTCCATCTTAAACGCGTATACCAAAACGCGCGAGGGCTAAAAATATTTATTTTTTCAAATTACCTTTGTTCCCCTCCCCTCATTCCCGTAAAAAAAACGCTCGATGAGAGTCCGGGATCCGTGATGCGGATCGTCGGCAGAGTAGCGCGTAAGAAAATTTAATGAAAAGTTTGTGAGTTCAAAACTGTTGTAGAAACGGGATCATTTTCCACTCGTCGATTACGTCCCACCCCGAAATGGAAGATACCTTTCATTTTAACCTCCTAACGTATCTTAGATCTGAAATCGTGTTTATGTTTTTCCCTTCGAACGTCAAAACAAATTTAATGAAATATATAGTATGTATGCATAGGCACAAAAGGAAGTCCTACTTTTTAGCTGGAAACAAACTGCATTAAACATTGCGGACCGATTGAAATTTAAGAACTCACGCCAAATACAATATTATAATTAATTGGCGGAACATGATTAAATATATTTCCAAGTTAAATTTTAACATCATTTTTTGATCGCTTAATTCTGTCGGTTTTGATTTGAACGTAAGAAAGTTCAAAAGAATATTTTTGACCGGAACACGTAATTATTACCGACATAATAATATAACGCCGTATTATTATAGACGGTTTCTATATTTTTGGGTTTTTTTTGGTGGTCACAACGACGGAAGAAAACGGCGGAAACGCCCGAAAAATAGACAAGGGTGTTATTCGATAGATACACGGAGGGGCGTCATCTGTTTTGCGACCTTTTTAAATCTCCTCGAGTTTCGATTGCGTACCGAATGAAAAATCAAAAATGTTCAAATGCATCCGACAATATTTTTTTAAGGTCTTGCAAGCCGCAGTTAGACTGAGAGAGTATGAGAAAAATTGGTTTTTTCACTATACAAATCAAAATATATTAGAAATTAATTTCAATAAAACGTAAAACAAAAAACCAGAATTATTGAAAAACAAATTAACAATTTAAGAAATAATATTATATCCCGTTTAGACTCTAAGCTTCTGAGTGGAGCGAAGAAGCTCAAGGTTTTACAGAGATATTTATTTATTTTTTTATCTGTTAACAACTTTTCTACCAGAAAACTTGCTCAGAATTCTAAGAGAAAAACTTTTTCTGAAAGTAAATCGGTTTGGAGAAGTACTTTAAGGAGTTTATTTTTCGATATTTTTAGAATTTTTCTCATTAAATATGATAAACCGAAACATAGCATTGCCATTGTCGACTAGTTTTATTTACAAGTGTATATTGAATTATCTATAACAGTGGCTGCACCCGTCCCCGTTATACCAGCCCACAGGACGTGTTTATTTTTTTTCCAATAATTCATTTTTTTTTTTGAGATAAACACTGATAACACTCTCCAAGTGTATTTAGGAAATGTTTTTCTTTAATATTATTCTTCCTTCTCTAACTATTGTAACATTAATAACGTTAATGTAAAATTTAAAACGCCCCTTATTTTGGCGCCCTTAGTTCCATTTTCCCATCCAACGCACAACCCTCTACAGGCGGCTAGTTGGAGCGGGTTAGACAGCGTTTTCTTTGCAATCGTCTTGAACCTTATTTAGAAAACCTAGTACCTTATAAATAAAATGTTTGTAACTTGTGTTTTATGTCGAGTAACAACTATCGAAAGTATCTCGTATCTCGTGTATTACGCTATTGGAAGCAATGTATCTAGTATCAAGTATCTAAGCAACCAGTGAAGTGAAATATGCTGGGTTTTCGAATATTGCATTAAAAATTGAAAGTGATTGTACGAGTATAGGGGAAATTGTCGGTAATTTCGAAAAATTATTCAAAAAAATAACCGTTTTATTTTTTTAAAATACTTCAGGCCTACGTGAATAATATAATTAATATTTCAGATTTAATGTATCAGTATATATTTTAATAACTACATAAAACGTAAGCATCTAGTATTATCTTGAATCCATATATTTAAATTAAATGTTTTTATCGTATTCAGTATCCATAGACACACGTTTTGAATTTTAAATAAGTGTAACTTGCCCGTCCCTGATTTTTATTTTTTAGATTTTTTTAGATTTTAGATTAATCAGTAAAATTGAAAACAATAAATACATTTTAGTTGTATAATATGTATAGCGTAAAGTTATTTTGTAAAATTTTCTTGAAAGGCTACAAAAAAAAAAAAAAAAATCGTCTAAACTCTAATAGTCTAGTTTAATTTAAGGAGGGAGGGAGATAGAAAAAAAAGGTTGGAACCACTCGACTAGATGATGATGTTTGAGTGACCAAAGAAAGCCACGCAGAATATTTACATGTACCATAACTGAATTGTAAAAATTATTCTCTGAATACTGTAAATCTAAAAACTAAAATATTCGAACATCAGAAGACGGGCGATACATTCCGAATAAGCCTGTATAATTTTTTGACATAAATAGATTTAAATAGTTACAATATATGTATTATGTTAAGAATTCACACAGTTCTCTAGTGGCTTGTTTAGTTCTAAAATAATATAATCGGCTGTTTACGCTAAAAACACGCCTAACCAGATATAATCCGCGTATTTGGCAGATGATTATGATATTGTTTAGTATTTTCGATTATTTTTTCCTCCCGTTTTATGGCTATTGCTCGTAAAAAAAAAAAAAAGGAAAGAAAGTAACTTTGTCTACGAATCGTTTATATTATGCCGACCGTCAGTCGTCGGCGTGTCGATATAACGGCCACGGTCGTTAATACGAACGTAAACATACTATTTAGTGTAACTGATCAATTATTACTCAGTCAACGATATATTGTTATCGTCGGTTGTAATTATAGCAATAAAAAATAAAAAGTTATTTAGTTTAAATCTGTACGATAAACCGTTGTAAATGAAAAACGTTTCTGAGCAAAAATCAGTTTCCCCTCGCCGTAATCGTTATGATTTTCATCAAAATGTACACTTAAAAGACGACCCATTCTCAGCGCACCGAACGGATCCAAAAAAACCGTTAATGGCCGGGAAAAAAAAGCACTCGCAGCAATAGAACCTATACATTTCTCACTGAGCTTTGCAGAATTAAAAACAGAAAAATAAACATTTTTTACGGTATTTTTCAACTCCGTCACTTACGGTAAAAATTACCAGCTGTATATTGTATCTTGCTAAATACACGCCTGCAATAGCGTCCAGTCCGTGGAATATCAAATTTTTTTGTTTAACGTTACATTCGCATTCTTATTGTTTTACGGTAATAAGTTTTTTTTACGGCGGCTGTATAGAATATATTATTTTAGATTCGTTAATAACATAATATAAACCTCGTTATTTTATGATTTTTTTTTTTTTGTTTTTAACGTTACTGACGTTATTATTAAATATTCTTCCTCGAAGTGGTTTCCAAACAATTTATTTGTTTTTTTATGGAAACTTTTATTTTATTTTTATTTTTACACGCGCAAAATAACGTAATATTAAATATGGTTTTTTTTTTTTTTAAACCTCCCACTCTTTGCTCTTCGCAGAAATAATACGAGTTTACACTACAATAATAATTTATACTTACCACACAGTGGCGTAATGAGGATTTTGAATTTAGAGGAGGGTGGGAGGCTAAATACGACCTCGCAAAATGGGCGGAGATAGTGGGGGAGGGAAAACGAAAAAATGTTTAAATCTTGGTAAAAAATATTATCGTATTGCATTTTTAAAACGAAAATGAATTTTACTGCCGTAGATCAGACAAAATATTACCTTAGATACGCATATTTTGACAAAATGCAATACCAAAATACATTTGTATAAAAATAAAAAGGTACCCAAGTATGCAAGGTGATTTTTTTTATCACGAACCAGCAAGCGGTAGGTATGCAATTTATTATCCTTCTATACTTCTCCAGTGTAAACGTTATTAAACTGTTGTAACTCATAAGCGGTAAATCTGAATCTGGTATTATTATCAGATTAAATTTAAGCGTATCAGCATTTCTGGAGAAAATCTTTCTATTTGAATCTGTGATTGAAAGAAGGGATTGCTGGTTCAAAATTCAAAGTTGATACTCATTTCAGGTATAATGAGTATGGATGAAAATTGAAAATAGTGTCAAAATAGATCTTGAACGAATCGATAATGATAAAACAAAACTATACAAATCAAATTCGCATAAAATCCTCCGAGAAAACGTCTAGTTCATGAACTATCCGGTATACGGTATTAATATATGCTTTTAATTTGATTTGAATTTCAATGGTTTCAAATAACTAAAACCAACAAGATATATTTTCAGTATTTTCGACTTTTTCGGAAAATATTTTACGGGAAAGAGGCAAAACAAAAAAAATTGTACCGAGGGTCTTTTCGTGTAAGTATACTTTGCAGTATAATTTTACATTTTTAAATTAATAAATCCCATCGTGACTGTATAATTATTCGCGCCATTTTGTAGATTGAAATGGACCAATGTCAACGGTTAATTACGGCCATCGGTTTCAAATACAATTCACCGATCAAAAGTTTTATTTTGCATTTACAATATTATAATTGTGCTTTATTCGATGTGCGGTTGAAGATAATCTCCACTAATCAATAACAATTTTTTTTTAAAAAACAAGTACTACAAACAATATGATTAGTCAGAAAATGAAATTTCACTCGTGCCACGTCACTGATTCTCGTACACGTACGTCCCGTTAGTGGTCCGATGTCAATGAGACGACTGTCCGATTCCGCGATCTCCTAATACGAAATTTTCAATGTTTTCCCGTTATAATACGAAAAGCGCTAAGTATTTTAAAAATGTGTCTGTGTACTGTGAAGTATTGACTACTTACGTATAAAATGCTATTAAAAATTTATCACGGAAGTTTTTGATTACAGCAAGGTAGTGTTCGAGTTCAAAACCCAAAGAGCGAAAAAACTATAGGTGCTATAGGTGTTTATAAGGTAAGTTTAGAGGGCTCGCAAATGACTTTTACGGTTGTTTTACGCGTTCGAACATTAAATTTCGTTGATTAATATTTTGCGCGCAAAGTTATTACGTAAGTATTTGTAAGAACGTTCGAAAAAAATAAACTCAAGAAAACTTTGCCTCTGTGCAAAATGCGTGTTCAATAATATACTGAAGCGTTTTCCTCGAGTTTCCCGCGATATTAAAAACGCTAAATTTTCGTCGATGAGTACGCACTCCATTATTCCGTCAATTTGGTGACGAATCTCCAATGAATTTTGCCGTCTGACGTCAGCCCATATTACTTTCGTAACGTTGGAATAAAACAATATTTTAGAATATGGTTGGCCCGAAAATCTTACACGTTAAATCAGACGCGTAGATGGTAAACATTTTGTTGTGGTGAGATGTCTGACGATTGACACGTAGTCGTACAAACTACAGAAATGCGCGAAAAGTTGAAAAAACACATCTTTCGTAAGGTGTGATTCGTTTTATTTGAACGGTCTAATAAGCGCCGATCAGTCTTATCACTTTCGTGCCGGAAATTAACAGGCCGTCCGGTTTTACCGCGTAAAATATTTAAAAGCGGTTTTAATTTTTCGAAGTAAATACGATAACTCGCTTGACGGTCTGTTGTTGAAAACGATTGGAAAAAACTACACGTGTGATGGCTATGTGACATTTTACCCGAACAATTTCGAGCATACCTACAGAAAGCGGTCGACCGACGACGACAAGAAAAACGCGTTTGAGTTTGAGCGATTGAGTTGAAACTTTCAAAAATGTTTTTTTTTCGAAGAAGAAAAATAACTTTTATTGTACATTAAATTTTCGGCATTTAATAATGTAAAGAATAAAAAGGACCAATAGCGCTCGAGATATGACCGGATATATCCGGGGGATACGAGTACCGATCGGATTAACTACAGTAATAGGCCAGTTAGCTTGGTCGAGAATCGATAAACAGTTAACTGGGAGATAACGTTAACCGTCGGTTAAATCCTACTGGCCGTCCGTTAAAAGAAATATTGAAAAAACCGTGGTAATTCGACTGGACGACGAGAAATTTTACGGGCGTCTGGATAGGAAGCCGATTTCGCGGGCTAAAATTACATTTTGAACGCAGCCGTGCAATAAAATCTAATATTATCGTTCGTCGAGTTCGGAAGTCGCAATTATATTGGCGCGTACGCCCGGTAACAATACGTTTTAATGGGTATAAACACTCGTAAACTCCTGTTACCGGATCTAAAAATAGAGACTAGCCGGTAACAGGAACGAAAAACGGAAAAGACGGATTATAAACGTGGCTATAACACCGACCTCTGGGAAGAGTCGACGACCGGAGATGAACAAGAAGATGAAGAAGAAGAAAAACTCGTAAATGAATAAATGCATGTCATGGGCGACCAATGCATTTTCCTTAGTTACACGGGGCTACATCGCCACTTATGGCCATCTTATGGAATCTTCTGTTAATATTAGATTAAACCTATAACTACGGTCACTGAAAAAACTTCAAAACCAAATCATAAATACGTTAACCAATACGTAGAGTCTCGCGGAATTTCAACATTTCATTTTCCCGTTCCTACAATATCTATGTTTCTGTGTGATAATTCGTATCGTCTAGAATATTAATTTACTCAGTTTACTCGGTTTGATTAATCGTCAACGTGAATGAATAAAACAATAACCAATTATACGGTTACAAAAAACTACCTACGCAATTTACGAATGATATAAAAATAAGTGGCCACAAGGTTTTTACGGTTCGCAGTATATGGTTGAAAAATACAAAATATGTTGTGAACCATTGCCCTTCCCCTAGGATTTTTGAAAACCAAAAACTCTCGACCCTTGAGTTTATGACTTACGACGACATTTTATCGTATTAAACGTATAACCGCGAGAATCCAAATAAAGATTCAATTTATTTTTTTGTTTCCGCGACGTCATGTTTTAACGTAATGTCGTGGGCCACGGTGTCGTTTACTCACAACTTTTTTGTGCGCACGACTGTGGCGCTCGTTCTGTCTCTTGTGCATGTACGCAAAGAGGCCGGGAAATACGCCGTCCGCCGCGGTTAGTGCCCAGGAGACTCGCAGCCGTTTCAAAGTTTTTAGTAACACAACGCCTCGTCACTTTAATAACAATACGGTGCCCCGCGGGTGTTTATAAATACAACTATTGCGTTTACTGACCGAGAGGAGGGGAAGAGAAGATATTGACCCGCTTTAAAGTAGACTTCCTCTATATACGATTCGCAAAGGCGAAAGGAGAGGGAAAAAAACGTTCGGTCGACACACGAGATGTCTGAATTCGATATTGAGACGCCGCGATTTCCTCCGCAAATAGAATGTCGAAATTCGCCGTCGACACGAAAAGAAAAAACCTCCCATATTAATGCACTAAGACCCGATATCTCAGGAGGAACGAAAAAAACTAATTGCCAACGGTCGACGTAAACAAAATTTAAATTCGTATCTAGTTTACATTTTTGCCGGATTTACGTAGGAAATTTCGTCAGCGTCGCATAGATGGTTTTTCCCGCGGTAATCGATGGCGCATAGGGTGTTTAGGCAATCGAATGATTGCCTGAGTGACAAAAAAATTAAATTATAAATGTGCGCAAATTCCGTGTACAACATTGGCCGAGTCGAGTGTCGTTTCAATCAAATTTTTAATCACTTAAGAGGTATTCCATAAGCGGATGATTTTTTTTAAACAAGTTGAACGCGAGTTGTTTTGTTTTCGTTTCTCGTTAACACTCCGATAAAGATAAGTTTATCATATTGGTGTATTTTTGTCGGATTCGAGGATACCAAAACACTCGGCAAAAATAGGAGATTTTTTCGTGTCGACGACAAAATATCGTTCTTACCCTCTCGCGTAATTACGCGAGTATTTAAAACGATTTTACTTAAAATTCGAAAAACCATACGACTCACCTGTAATTGTGTGAGCTGACACAATTGCTGAGAGAGTTGCTGTTGGTGCTGTTGGTGCTGTTGGTGCTGTTGGTGCTGTTGGTGCTGTTGGTGCTGATGTTGCTGGTGCTGCTGCTGTTGTTGGTGCTGGTGCTGTTGCTGCTGGTGGTGTTGATGTTGATGCTGGAACTGCATGTGTTGATGCTGCTGTTGCTGCTGATGCTGTTGCTGCTGATGCTGGTGCTGCTGGAGCTGATGATGCTGTTGCTGCTGTTGCTGCTGCTGATTATGGTGCTGCTGAAGTATCAAATGCGCGAGATCCTGTTGTTGTTGGTGGTGATGAATCTGGTTGAGCAAAGCCACGGCAGCCGCAGTCGACGTGACCGGGTGACCAGCCATGTGACCGGGATGGTGCTGCGGTGGCGGAGACGGCTGTAAGTGCTGCCCGGGCATGCCATGCGCGTTCAAATGATGTGGGTGATGGTGCGGATGATGATGATGATGATGCGGATGTAGTCCGATGAACGCAATCGGGGCGCCGCCCGGAGCGGCCGGCCCCATGGCACCCTGACCCATGGCGGCCAGTGCGAGCATGTTCTGTGTCGGGCTCAGTTGTTGAGGCATGGCCCATTGCTGTACGGCAGCCGCAATCCAGTGCGGATGAGCTACCTGATGATGCATAGCTGACTGCGCTGCGGCGATCTGAGCGAAATGTAACCCCTGATGGTCGCAGGGCCCGAAAAGTGGAGCTGGCGTCGGCAGCAGTGCTTGCAGCGGCGGTTGCAGCAGCGGTGGCGTCAGCGACGGCCGCGGCGACTGGCCCTGGCAAGGCACGGTGGCGGCGGCGGCGACGACTGCGATGGCCGCCGACTGATCGCTTCGCTGGCCTACTGCGCCCGGAGGCTGCGTCTGTGTGTGAGTCACGGTTGCACCTTTCCGGTACGGTCGTGATTCGCGGTATCGACCGCGATTAGGTTCTGTAAAAATAATATTACAACATTAATTACTATTTAATTCTTTAATTAATTACAAAAGAAATAGATTAGGCATGGCTTCGATAGTAGACAAAATTACCGAAATTATAGACAAAAATTGGTTGGGTTTGCTACGAGGAAAAATATGAAAATAAACGTCGGAGGAAAGATGTGGAGAGTAAGACCAAAAAACAGAAGGATTCGTATGTGATTAAGAACTAAATGAGAACGTCGGGAGTATGCGAGGACGATACATGGGAAATCCGGTGAAACGGGATTTTAGGACGAGGGCAGTGGACCCCGTATAGTTGGGATGAAGGCGAAGAAGAAAAAGAAAATACTATTATTGTTTTCATAATAATATTATATTAACAGTAAAGGAAATATCTCTATGTGAATTATCAAAAATATTCAATTCTGTAAGGTTGTTCGTTGAGGTTCGACTTAATACATGACGTACACTGGGAGATATATATATATATATTGGAAAACTTTTATAACACTCCTATATAGAAATAAACAACCGGATATCTTTTACTATACGGTGCAAACAATTCAGAGCCTTTTTGCTAAGCTAAAATTTTTTCCCCCGAGGAAAAAACACCGAGAAATAAAAAGGTTCTCGCACGTTCTCGTCCGAAAGAATACCCATTAAATTTCTTAAGTCCAAGTCGAAATGATTTAAAACAATGAATTCGTTATTGTTATCCGTTAACCGAAATGTTATCCGTTAATGCTGTACATTTATTTTTATTTTTTTCCGTTTTATCTCAACGATTATGAACACTGATTGGAAATTGGAAAAATGTACTTTCTAATACACTAACTAAACAACATTTTCATTTAGAAAAGACGCTACTGTCACGATCACGGGATAGGATTTTTTGTTTAATAGTTGTATATAAACAGAATAAAAAAAAACACACACATCACAGTAAAACCAATACATTTCTCATCGTCGCGTTCAGAATTAAAAAACGTCCGAGACAATGTGCATTTTGACTAGTCCGTCCAAACGAGAATCTACTATACACAATAAGGTTCACGTCTATTGTGCATAAGCAAGTAAATATATACAAGCCGATTCTTTTATCATGAACGAGCAATAATCTCGGAGGATATTATATTATGTTCAAAATAAGTTTGTTCACTTAGAATTTATTAATAGCGAGCTCATTCTTTTTCGATCACTGATTCAAATAGAGAAAGTTATACCGGTTTATATCATTTTTGAATTGATAAATTCGATTGAATTAAATTAAATTTAAAAATCTAGCGTAGATCGTCATTTTAGATAAAAAAAAGCAATGGTAAATAATTGAATATAGTGTCAAAATAAAGCTTGAGCGATTCCATAATGATTAAACAAAAACGAAAATCAAATACACGAGGCAGTCCTTCAAGAAATTCGCTGTAGTTCATGATAAGTGGATCGCCCATTACAGATTGAAGTTGATTTCATTTTTTTGTTTTAACCATTTCTAACCGTTGTGGAATCGTTTAAGCTTTATTTTAAAATCATTTTTAATATTTTACCTCTACTCCATATACCTAAAATAAGTATATTATAATTATGTTTTTAAAGATGATACCCCCTTTTTGGACACAGATTCGAATAGAGAATACTTTTTTTTAGACATTTTGGTACGCATAACACAAATATCAGATTTACCGTTTATGAGTTATAAGCGTTTAAAGTTTAGACCGGAGGAGTAGGAAAAAGAGTAATAAATTGTATATTTATTTTTGAATGATAATTTTATAATAATTGATGAGGAGAGTTCCTATATTTGAAAAACAAAATTCTGTACTTATTTAAGGCAAATGGAACATGGCAAAAATTAAAAATGGTTTTGAAATAAAGCTTAAACGATTCTGCGATGATTAAGAAAAAAAAATCAAATTCACTTAAAATCCTCCGAGATAATTGTCTGTTCGGAATAGATAAAAAAAACGTCTTGTACACATAAAACACGACGTAATAAAGCGACGTAATCTACTCGTGTTTTTTGATACGTTATAAGGTGTTAAGTGATGATAATAATATTACGGTGACAAAAACAATATTTTAATATTATAATCCGGTCGGGCTGGTGTTTTGTACGCGCGGGAAATGTTTTTTACGAGCCGCGAACACCGTGTTTACAACCCATTCCAATGTCACGCGTTTGGCACCGGTTTCGATTTTGTTTTTTTTTTGTCGTTTTTTTTTCTTCTTATTTCAAACGTCTTTCTTCTTTTCAAATTCGCTACACGCCCGAGTTTGTCGACGACGCAAACGAAACGCCGCAGTTTCATTTTTCGCCGCAGTCCGCAAAGCTCGAATCGACGGAACGCGTAGTTGTTTACACCCGAACCGATGTAACTCACCATTTAATATTAGAGTTCGAGAAATCGATTCCCATCCGATAACGGTAATTCGAGACGGGCGTTTATGTGCAATAATACAGTATTATTGTTATTATCGAGAACACAAGTATAATTATCGTCTTAATCCGATACGTAAGTCCCGGATAATGTGGATTAGTGGTCACGGCGTGCGCGAACGAGTCGGTTATTACGACGAGTGTCTAAAATGCCCGCAATGACCCGCGTTGGGCGAAAAACCATACTCGTCGAGTACCCACATCACGAATAAAGAACATTTCAGATTAGATTATAGTATATTACGTTGCATACGAATCGTCGTATTGAAAAATGCACAAGAGTTATCCTTCAGCGCGGTAATACTCACAAATAAAATACCATTTTGTGTACGCGATTTTATTTTTTTGTTTCGCAAGAATTAGAACTTTTCGCGTCAAAGAAGATATTATACACATAACGATATTAAGAAGGTTTACTAGGTTTAACCTATGTTTGGAACACGTAGCGACATATTATATTATACGTACGGATGCGAAACTCGTGAGCAGGGTCCGTGACTTTTAGCACTTGAAATCCACAGAAAAAAACTCTCGTAAAAGCATTTAAATAAGTAAAAATGATAGAGGGACTTTAAAAGTCGCGTTCTTCATTATGTAATAACATTTTTGACGTATTAGAAAATGTTATTTAATAAGTTGGAGCCATTCGAAGAGGTGGGGAACTTTTAAACCTATCTACCATTTTTGATTTTTAAGTGCTTTTTTTCAAGATTCCTTGTGAATTTTATGCGTTAAAATTCCCATGCTTTGCTACTGAGTTACAAAAAATAAAACGTTTAAGATCTCTTGAAATGTACGGAAATAAATAAATAAAGAGCTATAAGTTAAAGAAAAACTTACGTTCATATAGATGCGCGAATAGATCAAAACGTTTGAAAATGGTCAAACTGGAGGACATGTATCTCCCCTCCTCCCCCCGTTACCAAAGAAAAAAGTACTTAGTTCATTATGATATTATCACACTATTTTATTTAATATTTGTAATGTTTGATATCAAGACAAACTTGAAATACACAAAGAAATATTATGTAAATTACTTTTTTGGTTGCTGATAACATAAAATGAAAATGGGAACAAATCCAGTTTGGTATTAACTCGAATTTTTCATTTTTTATTTTAGATATAAAACATTTATTTTTTAGCGTTTAAAATTGCTAAGCTTTGAGCTGCTCATATTGTAAAAATAAATTTGGGTAAAAAAACGGCATACTTCGAAAAAAAAAGTGAAAAATTATAGTCTATTTGTCCATCTAATTGCGCCTACGTCAGTGAACCCTGAATGTAAATGGATGCTGGAGCCGCTTTTTTACGTCCAAAAGAGCCTCATACAAAAATAATAATAAATCGTAGACGCCAAGCCTCGTAACTATCATCTAGGACGAATTACTCGTAAAAGCGATGCAATAGTCGAAGCATTTAAAGAACCGAAAAAAAATCGAACAATTGAACAGAACAGATAACCGAAGTGTCGAACTCAAGTTTTGGAGATGTTAAGTTTGTTTTTAAAGCGCACTAGGATACGGTATTTTTTTTTTTTTTTTTGAAATAAACGTAACGATATAATATATTCTTGACGCTTAGATATTCGAGGAGTACTATACGACGCGTACTTATTGATCTTTTAAACTGTTTATTCGTACGGTATGAGAAAAATATTACATTTTGCCGAGCGATATTATATTATAATCGCCCGCGTTATGGCTTCGCGTTGGTGGTGGAGAAGCGTGAGGAGTGAGTAGCAAGAGAAGAAGAAAACGTCGGTTTTTAACTTTAATGATCGGATAACTTGATTTATTGTCGTTCACACGCGAACACGCACACGCACACACACACACACACATACACACACACACACACACACGTGTTGAATATAATAATATCGTGCAAGCTCTACTAGCACAGGCCTAAGAGGCCGTCGCAGTATAGCTTTTGGCGACTGTGTCTTTCTAACGGACGAAATACCCGTATTATACATTTTGTAATACAGGTAATGTATATTTCTGAAACCGATTCACGACGTTTGTTTTTTAAGTGAATGCGTTTTTACCATAAAATAACAATAGCCTGTTTGCAAGACAGAGAAGCAGCAGA